TAATTAGTTGCGAACATGCCATTCACCATCACAAAATCTAACATTGGAGAGACAGATAATGTCAGTTTGTTAATATTTCGAGTTTTTCATCCTTTTATCATGTAACTACTTCTGCTACAAAATGTGATTTTCCGAGTGAACAGCACAGCACAGCCACATTTTTATGATTATAATTAGGTTGATCATTCATTCTATATCCATTAATATTAATATCATACGCTGAGCACATAACGCTACACGTGCAAGCTATTTTGAGTCCCAGATATAATTGCCATAAACGCACCACGTGACATAAAAAAAAGGTCAGCCAATTAATCGCCGTAATTTCAATGCTTATTCGTGTAAATACATTGACATAATATAATAAGATATTTACTAAACATTTTCCAAATTAATGACATAGATGATAGTGAGGAAAGTCCTGTTATTAGCGCTAGCACACCAATCGCTAGCTTGGAAATGGTATGTGCCTTTCTTTTACAACAGGACAATGTATAACCTTTTTACAAAATACTGAGAAGTTTGTTGAAGTCAGGAAAACAAGCTCTTAAAGTATAGTCTGACTTCGATGTGATAGTATAATTTTAATAAAGAGAAAGTACTAGTCACTATTACGGTAACAGTTTTCTGGTTTCTATTCGTTGTTCTATAGGAATGGACGCGTTAATTAAAGGGGAAACTATGTTGGATCGATAGGCAAACAGTTCACCGCTCTTATAATCGATTTACGGAAGACAGCAATAATTTGCGCTTGCAATATGAATGACGATCTTAGAATAGAAAGAAGGCATACAATATATAATTTACCGATATGAATTCTGTCTCGCTCAACAAATATTAATAACGCATCACTTCTTACCTAAAAAAGAAACCAAATGTTTCGAATAATCCATCATTATAAGCGTGAACTCTTCCATAAATCGATAATGAATATTTTATCTTCCTGGAAATAATAGTCGAACGTCCGAACTAAGGTTACCGCCTTTGTGAACTGCTATGTCGAGTACTTAACAGCCGAATGACCGAACCAACATTAGCATCAGCGCTCATTTTCAAAAGTCCATGACAATACGTGGTATATTGATGGTAGGAATAATGGCAAGCACTTACCTCGTTAATAGGTCATTATTCTAAAGAATTCTCTCTTTGTATAAGAATTTACTTATAAATGGAGAGGGAGAAGAAGGTGGTGGGGGTGGTGGAGGACAATAGAGTACGACGTGATTTTATTTTATATTGAATAATTAAGCACCAAAGTCGGTTGCCAAGTGGGCTAAGAATTAACATTCATTGCGAGACTACGATAGTAAGAGTATGCGGGTAAAAAACGCAGCGCGACTCGAGGAAATCCGTCCCGTTAAGTAACAAGTTGCAGCGACCATTGATCAATCCCAATGCAACTACGACCGATGTCCTCTACTTTATTTTGTCTGATCACAGGCATCTCAAGTTATGAATAAAAGTTACATACATCAACCCCAAAGTAAAAAGATGTAAACTGTTTAAACTGACATGACGAATGTCAGCGTGATCCACAAAGTCGAGGATGTTTCACATAATCGGTCTACGCAGAGCGCCACCAGCACCGTCATGTCAAATTGCTCAGTGTGCAAGGCCAAAGATCAAGCATCCCTCTATCGTATGTGAATATAGATTAGACTTTACTTGTTTCTAAGATGCTAAATAAATAGGTTACATGATAATAAAACAAAGTAACATAAAACTATGGCTAAATGCGATTATTTCACGAAAAAGAGTTGAATCCTTTTCTATTAATGGTGATTGTTGAAAACGAAGATATACAAGTGTTGTCCAAACTAATGATTGTCAGTTTGTATGATGATGATCTTTTAGCGATGATTCTAAATGTAGGGAAATAAAATTCTATGTTGGTAACAACGGAAATGTTTAAGAAATCTCCGCTTCGTCATCTTCACTCTCTGTTTGTTGAAAGAAGAAAGCAATTTTTTAACAATTGAACAGATTTGTAATGCCATTTGGAAAGATGTTTGAAAAAGTCTATACCTGGTTGCCTATGCGGAATATGAAGACATCTTATCTTCAGAAATGAACAGAATTGGCGGATAACGATTACTGCCCAGTAAATGTATGCAATCAATACAAAGACGAAATAGCTCAAAAGGTAATAATACTCGATCTTGGGCGTTAGGATTGGTTCACTGATTTCCGAAAAAAAAAAAAAGAAAAAGAAAAGAGAGGATTATGTTGAGATTGAAACGTTCTCGATAATATGAGTTGCTAGAAAGCAGACTACTTACATATGGAAGACGATAGGAACGTTGGCTAATATTGCGCCAGCTAACAACGGGATCAATTGCACAGTGAACATAGGAAACGGCGTCTTTGTCACATGTGCTAATATAATCTTTGTGGCCATGCGTCCGAACACAATACCAGTTGTTAATGCAAAGAGGATAAAGTGATGATCCTCTAATATACGCGAATATGGCGATGATAGCCATAGATACCCGCTAACGACATAGACCGCAAATGATAAATGTTGAGGTAGAGTGGCTAAAAACGAGCGTCCCTGACGTCGGCATGCTTGATACACGTTATAAAAGCTACATGTTCAAAAATGGGGTTACTATATCTGCATGTAGATCGCAACAAAACTTGAATGTTCGTAGATTGATTATCTTACCTGGCTGGCAAAAGGCAGGTCAAGACAATGATAGTGATGGAAGCAAACATTAAATCCGTCAAGGTATAGCCTTGTACGAACTCTGGAGCCTTTGAACCGAAAAATTCCTGTAAATCTGTTTTCCAGAATCCAGGGCCTACAGAAAATATACATTAGTACAATTTGGCAGAAAGTGGACATGTGAATTAGACAAGTAATATCTTACCTAAGATGCCGGATATTATCATAACAATACATGCAGTGATCAAACCCTCAGTTGGCCCGTTGATATATCCAAGATAGAGAACGCCCGTCTGATATTCTTCCCAGGTAGATATGTAAAAGGGAGCGGTAGTCAAAACTAATAAGAACGTAGAATACCATGAATGACCCAGTCCCATGGCAGCCGATTGCACGATTGCACCCAAGCTACAGTTCAGTGCATCACATCCATGATCAAAGAGTTCACCGAGTGGCGATGATGTTCCAGTTCGTCGCGCTTGTCGTCCATCTATGTTGTCAAACGTTGAGTATAGCCATAATCCGAGCGCAAAGCTGCAACATGCACGGCATCATGAAAAGAAAGAGTTCACATATAGTTCGAATGCGAATTAGTTTCTGAGTAACGAAAAGAAATTGGGCAAAGCTAAAAGAGTTAAAGTAAACAATACCTAAAATAAAGCCACGAATCTCCTGGACCAACAAGGTCAGGTACGAATATAATCACACACATCACATTTATCAGTATAAAACCGAAGCCACAAAGCGTTATCAAATTCGGTCTACATTATGTAATGATTGATGAGACAGAACAGTTATATGCGGTGGGTGATTAGTATGTATATATACATGTTCTCGAACATGTCGTTGCCTTTATACTCACGCCATCCATAGTGGGAATAGTTCAATGACCCGGTCCAAGTAGGGCTTTAAAATATACTTTGATATTGGAGACTTATCGACCGATGCATATCGATACAGCTTCAAGTTGCTGAGACCAACTTCGCCAATGTAATCGGATTCAAAGAAGAATGGCATTATGCTCAAATATGAAGACAAAAAAAAAACCTTAACCTTGTCTGGAAGGGATGTTTATAGGACACAAGAAACTGTATATCTCTCTAACATACCAACACTGAGTACCTTTTTTTTTTTTTCTTTTTTTTTTTTGTGCCCTGGTAAACTTTTTGTCTTTACTGTAACGCCAAAATCTCTGGTATATGTATTGAAATTGTCAGATCACACAATAAATGGCTGATTCTGCAAGCGTGGAAATCGATGCGATGATAAAATTTTAACGCACATGAATCTACCTGAAAAAGAAAGGCAGTTGAAAATAGGTCAACCCCTAAAAGTTTTTTTATGTAAGCAGAATGCCAAGTATATTTTAGCAAGTTTTGGCGTTTCCATCTTTTTTAACCATTATCTCTGCCTGTACAATGACAGGTGGTGTCACGGTAGATCGACAGTACGCCATAACTTTATCAAATCTTGATCAAAAAATGGCGTCATCCTTGCTAATTATGGGTGTTCGCATATGTTACCCCAACGCACCCTCAAATATGGATGGATTGGGGTCACATTGGGGAGGGATACTGATTGCGTACCTTCCAAAAGCAGTAGCAATAATAGTGATTATGTCCCTCATATGCTCGTAAACTAGGTGGTATTATTATTATCTTTGGTATTACTGCCATAAGCTGGGGAGAATTGGATAATCCGCATGGTTTGGGATTTCATACAAATGATTTCCGGGCTAACCTGTGAGGTTTTCCCCATTAATCAGTTGACGATCCTTTGCATTTTTATTTTACGATTTCCCATCTCTTGGCCTTATTAGTATGAGAAAAAAATTTTTTTTAATCCAAACCATCATTTTGATAGGCTTGTGATGATCACACCGAAAAATCTGCGTAACCCCTAACCACATGTGAGTGATCTGAAAATTTTGATTTAATTAATCAAAGAGTAAAGAATGAATATTGGAACATTGATATGGGTGAGAGTAAAAGACCGAGTGTTAGTGTCTAACCAATGGAGCTTTTTTAGACCAGGAAATAACGCTAGAAAATTAAAAACTGCAGAGTCTATGAGGCTTAGATTTTAGAAGTAGTCATTTTCAGTGTTTTCACGGAGATTAACTTCTCATTCATTTTTTTAAAACAACGTTTGTCTTTTGCTTTATTAAAAATAACACAAAAATGGAGGGAGCACCATAGTTTGCGTTTGCGAATGTGACCCCATAATACCGTTGCGATGACCAGGGACTACAATTAAAGCCTTGGCCATTTCCACTGATAATCGGAGCCCTCCGCGTTTCAAATGGGTCTGAGCAAGCTTTCCTTGAAGTCATTTTCCATATAAAAGCTACTTTAGACATGATATTGCTACATGTTCAAATTTGACCGGTAGATATTCTCAAGCTTGGCTCTAAGCATGGTCTAGCTCACACGGCCGCGCGTCAATTAACACGTGAACTGTCCCTTCCCTAAGTGTTTGGCGACAGTAATGATACTTCAGCGTCCGCTTAATTTACAGCTAGGCTTATTTCAGCCTCTTAAGCAAAGTCAAAGATTGAGAATCGTTCTCCGCTCCTAGTAAATGAGGTCTTAATAATTATTTTACTGTTTACATTATTTAAGTAATGTTTGTTATTGAATGTTTGCGTTTCTAGTAATGTTTGTTATTGAGGCGCGATTTATTAACGCGTTTGTGACAGGGCGCTATTTTAACTTCTGTTACACTAATATCTCGGATGTAATTACAACTATCGAATAGGTGGTCTAGTTTTATATAGTTCTTCTTGAATATGAAGATTCTGGGCCTTGATGATGCACCTGTTATCTGACATGCACATATTTAGGTCAGGTTATGATGGATATGGGAACTGAATAAAGTTGACCAAGTGTATGAGCAGGAAACAAAAGGGGCCCTACGAAGAGGACCTTCAAGTTATACACTAGGTTACTTAATATTAACAATGTTAATGTTCTCTTCAAAATCACTTGAAAACGTTTGTCATATGTAAGACTGTATATACGTAATCAGCTGTTTCAGTAAATGATATGCAGAAAGCCATAGTCTCTCCTGCTGCATGTAGAGTGTAATTGACTTGCACCTCTAAAGGTTATAAAAATGTCTTTCAGAAAAGATCACACAAATAACATTCATGTCACGTGAAAATAGAAGGAAAGGGCTCAAACATTATGAAAATAATTGTTTCTGTGAAGTCAAACTCGCATCAGCATTGGACGTAAATACTATCATACAGTATAACGTACTGATTTTTAAAAGAATCATCATAACAAAGACTTTCGGCAATTCGGGGTATAAAATCTCCTTATTATTATCGAAAGCTGTCTTTCATTATTCCGGATAACTATGACATGAGCTTTGCTACTAGTAGTAATTTAGTCTTTATAGGTCAGTTCATACGCTTGGCGTTATGATTGGAAATAAAAAATTTAAGTTTTTTTTCCTGCTTACTGTAGAAGGAAAGGGATAAGTAATCATTAAAAAGGCGTTAAGATTATCTTGGGCACTGTTATTATGATAGCTTATGTAATCAATATTTGTCCATCTTGTTAGTACAAGCCTGGCAGCCTGCTCGAAAGGCTTGTTGCTGCTCGCTCGCACTGCCACGATCAGATCAGTGTGCGTGGGAATCGGCTTTTTATCTCACGTGCAGAAACAGAGGTAATGCTAAACATGTCAGTACTTGACTCTGCTCCAAACTTCATTGACTCGGAATTAGCTAATTGCCTCAAAGAATACGAATATGGGATAAAACAGAGTTCAGTAACAATCTCAAAGACGGAACCAGGTCTATTCGAATTAGTTCTCCTGGAGAATGTACAACTCGGAATACGCGTCACTCAGCATGGGTTCTTGGTAAGTTTCGGTAGACGACTTTATATTTTTATACTCGTTAAACGACTCCAAAAAACGACTATATTTGCAGATTACAAAAGCAACACCACTGGAAGACGCAGCAAGTGCAGACGTGGAACGAATAAAGGTTCTCGAGAAACCCTTTGAAACTATGGAGTCTCTGTTACTAACAAGCAGTCCAAAGTTTGCTGAAAGATTCTATCAGGCATTATACGCTAAATTAGCTGCCATTGACGAAAGCGAATGAGCTCAATCTCACATGTCTGTTCAGATTACGATGAGACACTGTAACTTTCGCTAAGAATGTACGATTTCGGTTTCTTATCACAACCTATATTACTCGTACGCATGTACAATAATTACTTGTGCTTTGCGAACCATGTTAGATAAGAGTAGCAAGGAGAGTGTAGAAAATGAAGAAAAGAGATTGTCCCATAGTTTGTTTAAAAATAACAAATGCTCTACAATTTGACTCATTATGAGAAAAATTTAGACATAAACAAAAAAAAGGAGGAGCAAGATGAAATGAATGAAATACTTAAAAAATTTGGAGTACCTCCCAAAAATGACAAGGTAAGTCGACAATGGTGAAATTCAATCTGCTCTGATTTGACTACTTGTATAATACAACGGATGAAGATATACAATCTTCTCCGAAATCCTCCGTACAAACACATCGCACTTTCTTTGTCCCAGTTCAATTACAGTTAGTTAATCTGACTCAAGCCGCCACACGGCTTTTCCCAATGCAACCAGCAAAGTTCAGCTCTTAACAATGACCCCCATGAATGTTATTGTAAAAAAGTCCCAGTTGAAGAGATGAAAATAGGAAATAAATTCATGCTCGGGTACTATTCCCATCACGATTTAGATTCTGCCTTACAGGTTCTACAAAGAGATGAACGAACAAGCCGTTTAGTCGAGTAATATACGGAAGATATGGCGTGACGAGCTAAAAGAAAATTAAGCTACTCACCGAAGTAGGGGTGATCCATGGCCTCCTTTGGTGTAAGTCGCTCCTGCAGAAGATAAACGTGAGTATGACGGGCAAATCGTCAGGCAAATTGATAGTAGCTGCTCTAGATTTTCGTACCTGATGGTCATAACGTAACAATTTATCAAGAAAGTCGATTGCTTCCTTGGAGACAAATTTTGCATTTTCTGCTGTGCAAAATTTATTCCAGGGTTTTCGAGGGTACCTGAATGTTAACAACAAACATTTCACGTCTTTTGTTAGAATTATTCCTAACGGACAGGTGTGTTCGACTTATTCACCACCTACCTTCCAAGAATATCGTCATATTGAGCATCCAACTCTATGTCGTACTTGTCAAGATACGCAAACAACTCGTCGGTTCCGAGAACTTTCGCAATCTTGACTAACTGGTCGTAATTATCATGACCGTGGAAGAATGGTTCTTTACGGAATATCTACGAGCAAGCAGAATGTTACAAACAAATATAACAAAAGTTCATGCTGTGTAAAGTCACATCATACCATGCTTGCAAACATACAACCGAGGCTCCACATATCCAGAGAATAATCGTATTCCTGGAAGTCAACTAGCAATTCCGGGCCTTTAAAGTATCTTGAAGCTACACGCACGTTATACTCGGTTCCCGGATGATAGAATTCTGCTAGGCCCCAATCTATTAGCCTCAACTACGAAAAAGACGATTAGAATATATCGGATAGAATGTTCAAATTTGAATTTCGCTTGAAATAATTGCGACTTACTTTGCGTTTTTCATGATCAATCATCACATTATGAGGTTTTACGTCTCGGTGCATAATTCCTTTTGAATGGCAATAGTCCAACGCCTGTTAATTAATATGAGAATTCTGTTAACGTTGTTGCGTCTATATATATATGGAGAAGAATATTCGATTACATATGTCCTACTTATCCAACTAACCTTCAAAAGTTCAAAGATATAAAAGCGAACATCATAATCCGAAAATTTTGGATATAACACTTTGAAATCGGTGTTATTTACGTATTCGAAAATCAAAGAAGGTGTTTTCGACTAGGAAAAGAAAAGGACCAAGAAAAGCTTTAACTCAACGTCGCCATCCAACATAAATAACTCCTTCCCGCTATTCATCATCTCACCATCCCACTTAGCGTTCATCTCTAAGTCGATACACATATCTCCTCACGATGAACTATATGAGTTTCCCCGAATCAGCTAGAATAGGACAAAATGAAGGAATACGACAATGCTTGAGCGATCAGACGTTATACCTGAGGATCCCTTACAACATCTAATAGCGAGATAATGTTTGGTCCACCAGCTAGATTTTGTAGAATCTTAATTTCTCGCTTAATTTTCTTCTTTTTCACAGGCTTAAGCACTTTAATCACGCATTTCTCATTGTTAACAATATTAATTCCTTCGAATACTTCAGAATATTTTCCGCGTCCAATCTTACGCACTATTTCGTAGTTATCTTGTGAGCTACTTCACCCGGATGAACATAAAATGGAAAATGTAAAGTGCCAGATGTCAGTACATCACTGAATAGCGACAGTTTGCGTAAAGAGAAGAATAGCTGCCACATTTCAGTTGTTGGGCATTATCACTAGCATAGATCTGTTCAAGAACAACTCGACGCGAAAGGTTTCTCATTGCTTACCCCCATTGCACTTGTAAATTATCTATGGGTAAACAAGATTGACAAGTTAGAGACAGTAGATCAGCTCCACAAGTAAAAATTGACGGCGACGTGGTCGTACTTTGCTCCGGAAATCCAACTTGTTCATGATCATCCCCTAGCACTAACTCCCAATTCACATACCATAATCCCAGTATTCTCTCGGCAAGTTCTGGTTTACGTTAGCGTACGTGCGAGCGACACTTGTGTACGCTGACATTGTGCTGTGTTTCTTACGTGCTTGTGACATGAAGGGGAAAGCATAGGTGCGTTTTTTTTTGAAGTGGCTTGAAACGATGGTCACAATGTCAATGACGTAATGAGATCTGGAAGGGGGTAGGCTATTATCATAAGCGGACGGTTTCTTGTGAGAATATTATTGGGCAGCGTTTGTGTTGTGTATCGAAACATCACGCGTTTTTATATACTTACAGAGAAGTATCACAATTGCTGCGTCGAGTTTTGAACAAGTGGGGCATGAGTATCTTGGCCAATTTAATCATTGAACTATTTAAACATTAATGTGTTAGTAAGAAAAAAGATTGTCTTGATGGTAATACTGGATCCCTGTCGAGCAAACATTCCGTATAATAATAATTAAGTAATATCCACACCACATATGGCAGCTGAAGGGCAAGACTGCCTATTTACACGTTCAATTACTACGTCCCGATTTCTCCAAACAAGTTTATACAATAGTCTGAGACAAACGGAAAATTGAGATTGCTATTACTATTACGTAGTTGGATCGGATGACGTTATCAGGCATGTGCAATTGGTATATTTTAATTGGCTACAACTGAGACAACAGATTGGACAGTTCATTACGCCACAAGCCGAAAACCAGGTGATTTATTTAAGATACATTCCCATCGAGAAATTGATAATAAAGATTCAATCTGGTTGCAGTTTCTCTTCTAATCAAGTCTTGATTCCCTGCGAGGTGGAGTACGTGGCCTATCATACTCGGGGCTATTAATTTCATTATTTCTAGTCATTTCCATAGTAATAGCACCTCTGTTATTTGCCCTTTATCTCTGGAATGTGTCTACGGAGAATATCTATATAGAATTTAGCATTCATGATGCAGTCGAGAAACCACCCCATGCAAAAATTTTCGTTCGGTCTGGTCTTTAGGTATAGGACTCGTTGATCGTTCGCTTTTATACCAGAATTCCACCGTGTTTCGGAAGAGTTGACAAGCGGTCTCATCCGCAAATAATGGTTTATTCCAATTATCATTAAGGTTATTTTTGGCCCGTTATATCCGTTTTTGTTTCTGGTCATCAGTAAGCACTGGGAGGTGGCGAAAGACTTTTCAAGTATCCAGCATCAGTCAAATGCCTTCCAATGTTCTATAAAAAACCTCTACACCCATATTTTATTGCTAAGTTCGTGTTGAGATTGAGGAATCCCTTGCGAACATAATGCTCTTGAGACATTTGCCCTTGCCAACTCCCGTACTGTTCTAAGTTATATATGGAGAAATAAATTCGGCCGCTTTAACTCGTGCTTTGGGTAGGCTAGACGCGTTTTTGCCCCACACTGTAATTATCGCTTAATAAGAGCGACAGTTATTAACGAAATAATAATGATGATGATATGCGTAAATACAGTCTAGCCATTGTTATCAACAATTACTTTATTTCAATAGTCAAATATTAATATAATTCTCAAATAATTGACAATGATGTCAATTGATCGATCATATTAACCAAACAAAGATATTGGTCAAAAAGACCCGCTCGAACTACTGTTATTAGGAAGGGGGGATGGATCGGGAAAAAAGATACTAAACCAAAAATTTATATTATCAACAAAGAAAGAGGTGTTATTATTATCCTGTCTAAGTAAAATAAATAGATAAATTTGTTTCACAGGATTCAACTTTTTGTTTTTTCTTTTTTGACAACTGCGCTATTATTTCTCTTTCAAAAATTCGCAATAGATATTCGACTATCTACATATATATAATTTGGTGAATTTAATACAGTAACTCTGATTACCTCGAATAAAGAGAAAAATGTCATGAGACCCAGATATTGGTGACTCAATTCAATATCGAAATCACCGTACAAATTGGACTGTCGATTGGTATATTGGAATGTTAGTTTTACAATTTGCAGTAGTCGCGAAACGGGCAAATAGTTTCGAATGGATCGTTAGTTTTTTGTCTCTAATATTCTTGCCAACTTACTCCGTAGTTTGATGTTATTTCTTAAACTTCTACGGTACTGATTGTGGTCAAGAGCTCATTAGAGAAATGAGATACAAGTTGGTGAGGAAAGAGCACAGATAAAAGTAAATTTGACTGAGGAAAGTGACATTGATCGCAGTTATACAAAATTAAAAGTTCAATTGACGAACTACAACAATCTTCGGGATCAACACTTGGCGACCTGCTGTGCTTCCCGTCCATAGCGTTCAGAAAGATGTGATAAGACACTGCAAAACACATTGAGAACGATTATGTTACGCGTGGTAATCTAGTATGGCCAGTTTGATAATAAATTTACATTAGTGTTGCATCTTTGACTCTTTGCTGAAAGATGGTGCTTTTTGTAAAGTTTCCATTTCCATTTGTAAGGTTTAACAAGTTTTTATTATTTTCAGAGCTCATTGTATCAACTTATTTTACGTAGGAACGCTTGAAACCATTAAAATAAGGATGTTGGAGAGCCTGTTTAGCCGAAATCCGTCGCCCAGGATCGTAGACGAGCATCCTCTTTATGGTTGTCAAAGCAACAATTAATTCAGCAATGATATGTGATAAATAGAGTGGAAGTTCATCGTTAATTAGGGAGCACTTACAGCAAGCAGGTCAACTCCATCCTTGTCTAGCGTCGGTACACATTTATCTAATGGTAGAGATTTCCAGTTAGGAAAGACGTTCTTGTAATCTGGTAACTTTGATACGCCTGGCCATGTGATGTCATCTGGTGTTCCAAGGTACCTACATAGATGAAATCAAACCAAGTTTTATCATTAGAAGCTCAGAGGATTCTGAATCAAAAGGACAAAGTTTTCTAACGTGAAGATCTTGAAGAGCTGATCTATTTCCGAATCGCCTGTATGAAAATAGTATTAATACGAGGTTGAAGCGAGAAATGAGACAAGACCACGTTGTTAGATGTTAATACCTGCAAGGAAGGGGCTTCGAAGCGCCATCTCTGCAAACACGCAAGCAACACTCCACATATCCACTCCTATAGAATATTGCCGTATCCCAAGTAAGATCTCTGGAGCCCTATACCACAGTGTTACAACCTAAAAAGAAACACAACAATTATCACCAATCGTTAGAATCTCACTAGAAACAAAGAAATATTCCTAATTGCTCGCTTACTTCATGCGTATATGCTCTTAGCGGAACCCCAAACGCTCTAGCTAACCCAAAGTCGGCCAATTTGAGGTTCCCGTTTTTATCAATTAATAGATTCTGCGGCTTAAGATCCCGATGTATAATGCGATGCGAATGGCAATATGCGACACCACTAACTAACTGAAATGTTAATTTCTAATTAAAAGAATCAAGAAAAACGCGGTTAATTAGAATGGTTCTATAAAAGAGACGGGTCGATAATGATCTGAACCAATAGTAATCATGTCCATAATACTTTTATTTCTTGCGGATCCATTCTATGGTCCTTCGGGATGCTGTCCATGTACCGTTTTAAATCCATGTCAAGGAATTCAAAGACCAGATATAGTTTATTGTCTTGATGCACAATGTCCAAAAGTCTAATGGCATAAATGTTATGTCATCAATTTGGATATAACGCGTGTTCGGCCGAGAAATGCGTCCTAACGACGCTCACGCTGCTATACTAAAATGGATTGTAATAATGATACTCACTTTACAATGTTGTCGTTGTTCATTTCTTTTAGCAATGAAACTTCTCTTATAGCTGTCGAAGGAACACCCTCATCGTCTGCTTCTAGTCTAATGCGTTTTAGGGCAACTATCTGTCCCGTCTGTTTGTCTTTTGCCTTGTACACGACACCGTATGTGCCTTTATGAAATGCGAGGTATTAGTATGTATAAAAGTTGTGAGTTATCGAAACGAATTCACAAAATAAATCGAACCGTAATCTCTGCCGAAACTCTTCACTGTTAAGTTAAGTAATACCTTCTCCTATTTTCTGAAGCTTGTCATAGTTGTCTTCCGTATTCATTTCTTTACAAAAAGCTAAAGAAACAGTACAAAAAGTAGCAGTAATAGTGTAAAAGCGAACAAAAAGGATAAAACAAACAACGCATTTATATTAATATATCGTACACTAAATAATTCTGGAAATGGAATGACGACACGCGCCCTGATTTACGTTAAATCTAGACGCGAAAATCAGTGTTCACTTGAGTGCTGTTTGATAATATTTATTCCCAAACTCGATCTTCAATAGCAGCCGTTCAGTTTTGAAACTTTCATGCGATTCGAATATGGAGTACAATCAGCGATCGCAACGAGCATTCAACTTTCCTTGTCTCAAGGCGTCCGAGATACCTGCTATGCTAAATGACTTGAATATTCCTTTTACAGAAGAAGACGTTAATAAACCAAATCCAGTACGCTTTCAAACAGCACTTGAAGTGTTTGCAAATGGCCTATTGGGTGTAACGCTCAATGGCTGTCGACCGCAGATAGACAGCGCATTGGAAGGATTCGATTATCGAGTACGTTTGTTTATACTTTCCATAGGAATGGGCTCGTTCCTTCTTTTTGTCCAAAGTTAATAAATATTCGTACTTCATAATAGGAACTTCATTCTGAATCAACAGCACAACTAGCATTCGCTTATTCTCTGTTGGTGATCTCTTGAAAGTTTACTTGAATTTCTTTTGGTAAATTTTGTCTATAGCGACGTGTTTTAAACCCAATTGTTTAAATAATACTACTAGTCGAAAGTTAATGGCAGCTGCGGGAATAGATGACTACTGTATAAGAGATGTATTGAAACCGGAACCTGGCCGAGTTCGAATGATTCTTAGTGGGATCATTAATTTTGCAAGATTTCACGAGGACAACATATATGTGCTTCAAGCTTACATGGATGAATCGGTAAACATCTTAAGGAAATTAAAGTGTATTTTTATTGCAGTTGAACGATGACAACTCAGTTATCTAGGAAAATGTGGAAATCGAACACCAAAATGAATGTCGAAGACGCCAAGAGCTTATAGATCAGCTTGGCCTGATAAAGTAATTAACAAAAGAGTCGCGCGCATACAGTGATGGTTTGTTACATATAATGACTTGGCCTATAATGTAGATTACAGCACGTCGAAGAGGAACCAGCTGCACGGCAATTTAAACAAGCCAATATAGAATTAGGAAACGAATTGAAAGGATTGAAGCGACAGCAGAACTCGCTGTCTGGAAGTATTGAGAATATGAAGAAGATTCTTCTCGAAACTGCAGATAAATTAGTGTGTATCTTGAGGAAGACGGCATATTTTAACGTAATTGAAGAGTATTCTAATTGCTGTTTGTTGCGTACAGCAAGCGAATCGTATGGAGACTTTAAAGACGCAACAAGATATTCACCGGCTCGAAGCACGTATAGTTCAGTCAGATCCCGAGGAGCTAAAATCGGTATGTGATCTCACAAAGGGGGGGGGACTTGTGATAATTTCTGACAATGCACATATCCTTCATATGTCACCAAGACAATAAAAGATTTGGAAAATGGTTTGGCTGCGGATAAAGCTGCTTGCTCTGAATTGGAAAAAAAGCTTCGCAAGCTTCAGCTTAAAGTGGCTCGAGTAAATTCGATCCATGAGGTGAGAAGTTGGTCTTTTTATCTTGTTCAAATGGATCATTTGCTGTCGTCTACTAAAAATCGTCTCATTTATAGGAAATAATATCATGTGACAAATACATTGATGACGTAGAAAGTGAGAGGGCAAAACGCGATAAAGCAAACAAAGCTATCCAACAAAGTCAGGATCGTCTTGCACACTGTCAATTGATGCTACGCGATAAAGAAACCGAAGAGGTTGCTTTTCATGCTACATTTAATTGTAATTAATAATATAGCAATGCACTAACTAACGTGTTTTATCGAGTAGAAATCTGCGCATAAGACTCTGGATATGAATAAAGAAAAGTTGCAACGATTGCAACAGCGAAGGCAAAGTATGAGGGATAAGCATCAAAAAAAAATTGCATCACTTGAAGAGGAGTATAAACAAGTTAAGGAACGGGAAGCGGCCAGTCGGGAGCTGGTAGACAAAAATAAGGACGATATAACCAGGATTGACGAAAAGGCAAGTAGAATGCATGTCAACATCAATTCGTCCGAAACGTTGAACGTTATCATCAATAAATAAATCACATCTTTTATCATACAGATGAAGGCTATGGAAGAAGACTGGCAACAAAGGCTGGCAACAATCAATGTTCGGTATTCACACTTTAAAGCAGCTACACAAAGCTATCTTCGTGACATCTTGCGTTTATTGAATAGCTATGCGCTGTTCAACAAAGAAGAAGTTGATGTTTAAGGTTGCATGATAAATTTCTTATTGATAATAAACAATAGTAAAATCTTCATTTTTGAAAGGTTCGAATAATGCGTTTCTAACGTCATCGAGTTGGTCCCTGCATGGTGACTATTCTTTAAGTTGGCCGCCGCCGCTTTCCCGCGTTATTTGACGTTAAACAACACGTGTCTTACTATTATTATTTATTTATTTATTTATTTATTTATTTATTTATTATATTCTGTTTGTTTGTATGACCAATCGGGTTAGCTATCTAGTGCTAGTGTGAAGGCATTCCCCGGATATGGTAAACTTCGTCTCAAGGCTGTTATGTATCGCTCTTTGAGATATAATATTATTAAGCAAGCATGACCATTGGTGGAGATTTCGCGGAGTCCACATAATTATTAATATTAATATTAAAATAAAAAGACAAATCTACGGACTCGGCAACCCTGGTATCAGCTATTAGAATTAGTATACAGTCAACTGCCTATAATTCGACCGCTTGCGTTCCGAGGTTATCGATCGAATTAACGTACAAGTCGAATTATCGTCAGTAAATAATAATAAATGTTCTGTAGCCAGTGGTCGAATTAACGTATAAATCGAATTAAAGAAGGTCGAATTATCGGCAGTTGACTGTACACTTTTTGGAAAACTTATACGCACATAAAAGGCATTCCATTTCGGTGTATTCTTTGTTAGGTAGTTGGAAAACATTGTAAACTTGCGTTCACGCATTGGCGTGTCTGAAGTGCTTGCCAAATAAAGGACTTGTCGTTATTATTATACATGTATGGATCAGAAATGGCTTTTCAGTGAAAGTCTTTGTCAATTCCCTTGTCATTTGCATGCAATTTATACGTTTGTTTACATTTTGCGTTGCTTGTTAACCATTTCACAATGACTTCAAGCATACTAGTCAGGCAAATCTTTGGACTATTACTATTGTTAAAAGAAATGCATACCCAAAAATCTAGATTATTAGAAGTTCTATTCAGAAACTCTCTAATTAGTTTGGTAGAATCAATAGAGACCGTGTCGTGTGAGCTAGTGCTAGGAAAAAATGGCGATCGAATTCCCCGAGCTTTCAATTGAAATGCTGGGCTGTGCAGAAATGAGCCTGTACATATGTATTAGTATCTTTGAGTTGGAACTTTTGTTGGGAGCCAGGATTTGATGGACTTGATGGAACGTGGTGCCAGTCATGTTAATGTTTCCAGAAAGAAATACCCCCAAGTTTGCATCATTCGGAGAAGCACATTATTTAGAACTGCATAAATAAGGAGAGTGAGCATCACATGGATTGTATGCAAGTATTATTGGCGTTATCAGATAAAAATAGAGTGGAATCGTAAATGAAATGTCTATCGATCAGAAGGATAGCTATACATTGAGCATTTACTCTCGTATTCTTGCTAAACCAAAAACGACGAATTATGATTGCGAGGTTTTACTTATCCCCCCAAAAGAGAATCTTACTGGATGATCCATGAATATTTTTCTTTATCAAATCTCATGGGACCTGCAGGCTTGTTCAATATGCCCCGATTTAACAGCGTAGATGTTGTAAAGGATTCAAGTTCTACCAATGTCTTGTGAATCTCAACGTGACATTTAGTCTATATAGCAGTAATTTACGCCGTCGACTCCTTTTACTATACTTTTTTCTACTGTCTTCCTATTTTGATCGCCCGTAATGCCATCTCGAACAAGACAACTTCGAAAACGTACTGGTAAAAGTGGTCAAGACTCGCACGAAACCAAAGAAAGTGTCGAATTAAAGCGACGTGTTCACAAGATCAATAAGGCTATTGCAAGTGAAGATGTTGCAGAACTGAGGAGACTAGCTGTTACTGGACCAGGTTTAATCAACGATGGGCTGAGAAAGTTGGCTTGGCCCTTGCTACTACACTGTAATAATGAGAAAAAGATCGAAAGAGGTGAGCACCAAAGCACGTCAGTTTATAAGCGAGTAATTAGCGCCGAGGCGAGGGATAGAAGACGGTTTTAAATGATGTTTTGAATATTTATTTCCGAATTCCAGTTGCTGACAAACATAAACAAGAAGATCAAGTAAAACTTGACGTTGATAGATCATTTGCCCATTTACGAAAAGGTATGTCACGATGTCTATGCTCTTATTGGATTTTTCCTTTTCTTTACACAATTCGTTCTCTTTTCCCCATCCTGGTCTTCATTGTTAGGCACACGCAAAGTGACATTAAAACAGAATCAGCATGAGTTGTGTGATATAATAGTTCAAGTTCTCCGACGGCATCCTACACTTCATTACTACCAAGGCTTTCACGACATATGCTCAATCCTTCTTCTTGTTCTTGGCAAAGAGGCTGCCGCATCTGCTGCCGAGAATATAGCAATGTTCTTACTGCGGGACGCGATGCTAGATTCTTTTGATGTATTACTAGGCCAGCTCACGCTGCTTAATACCATACTATTACAGGAAGATAAGGAAGTATATCAGTTCTTGATGGCTTGTGAACTGTCGCCTTATTTCTGTATTAGCTGGGTGATTACTTGGTGCAGTCATGATTTAAGGAGTTTGGCGAAAATTACAAGGCTATTTGACTTTTTCATTTCATCTAATCCGCTGATGAGTGTATATCTTGCTGCCAAGGTGAGTTTAAGAGTAAGAGGTTGGGAAAGAGATTATCTAATAATAGCGTGATAAGTTGGTATGGTGAGTATGCTCTGGCTAATTTTGTAATATAAACTATGAATCGAGTGAACTAACCTAATATCGGTTTTAATCGTGTACGAGATTGTATTAAATAGAAGAGAAGAGCTGTTGGCGCTCGAGTGCGATTTCGCGATAGTACACTCCTTCTTGTCGAGACTTCCACAGAACCTTCAAGTTAATGAATTAATAAGGGATACACAGTTGCTTTATGAAAAATATCCGGCTTCCAAAATACAGAAGCTGTCTGACGTTCCGCTTCATGCGTTGTGAGTACGAATTTTTCTTTTGAACAAAAACTATTTACAGCGAACTTGTGAGTTATGTAAGCGATAAACAGAATCCAACCAAAATATTAACCGAACGCGTGATTTGTGTTTTATTCATATCCCCTACAGCTCATGCGTGAACACGTACACACATCAATGGCTCTCGATAGATCCACGTTCTATTATTGACTACTCCACAGCGGACAAAATACTGTCTGTTCCAACATCAGAGATTCAACCGGTAAAGAAGCTCTCAATGTACGAAAGATTCTTAGTTAAAGATGGCGGCATGCAAATTGCTGGTGGGCTGCTGGTGGTCGCTTGCTTTATAGCCATGTACTATGGACTGAGAAGATGAAGTGGTGAACGAGTGCTAAAAGCTGGTCATCGAGGTGAATCACTCTTTATATTTAGCATGGTACGAAGAATAGTTTAACGTAAGACTTTTGTGGTTACTAAACAGGTGGCCTCATTCATATCTTTAGTCATCGCTTGTTTTATCATACACAAAATTGTAATCATCTTCAAGGACCAAATAAATCTCAATGTTTTGGTTTATAGCGAAATAACGCGAGCTACGAAAAGGATGATTTTTCGGTACATTACATTATATTATCCGATGGTATAGTTCACGCAGCCAATTCAATGATCAAAGGGTGTCATTAGTTGTATTGTATCTCTAAGTCCTTGCATGTCGGTGACTTGTGTCAGTGAAACATCGGTCAGCCATCATCTCTAGAATGGGAATAGTCCTTGGAAACCGTATTTCTCTACGAGTTTCGAGCTGTGAATGTTGTAACCAGGAGTTTTGTAAGAGCGACTTAAGGTCGCAGTGGTGGTAGGAGGTGTGGGGATGCTGTTTACACGTTAGTGGACGATAGGACTGTCACTAATGGAAGGAAAGAAATGAAACGATTTCTTGGTTCGTCATTTGCAGATAGGTTAAACAGGTATCCCTTTGCGCAGACAAAACAAGTATGGCATATATATTTTTTTATTTGATTATAATAATAATTAAACTTATGATACTTAAAATCTGCCGTCGTCACTCACATCTTATGAATAGGAAAAGTTCACATTAATAATTAATCTTTATATGAACTGAGAATCAACTTGAAGTCCAAAATGCTTTACCATTATGACTGCCCATCTCTGGATTCGTCATCGACTATTGTAATGGAAAACGATTGCATTAACAAATCCGTACCATCAAACATCTGAACATCAACTTAAAAGTCTTACCCATATTAACATCATCCTGTTCGGATGGGAGTGGAGCGTCGTTGTCTACTTGTTGATTAATGTCTACTTGTTGATTAATGGTAATTCACTTTAATTAATATTCCTAAACATTTGATACGAACTAAATCTACTAAAAAAACTAGACGCTTACCGTAAACTTCAGGTATGACAACACCATTCTGACATAATATTATTAATAATACCAACACCAGAACACGCAGATCTGCGTATTATTAATAAGAAAAATCGATATCAATAATCTTACCTTAAACTTGACATATATGATAAGAAACATCTATGGCTACTGTTAAACATTATCCTAAAATCCCAAACGCTTTACCTGTAGCCTGTTCCGATGTAAATGATGACGTATGTTATAGAAAAGTTGATCTACTTTGTTGATATTTACTTTAATCATTATTCCTGAACGTTTGATATGAACTAAAAGTCTCCTAAAAAATTTAAATGCTTACCAAAGTTTGGTCCGATGGTTGGTGGATAACCATAAGAAAGAGGTGGTGGTAGTGGTTGGTTGTAATCGACTAGTTGGTTATAGTCGACTTGTTAAGTGATGAACATGAATGTTAATGTTATTAATAATGTTATTAATAATATTAATCAATAAAATCGTGCAGATCCTTTGTAATAATCTACTCAAAATCCAATGTGCTTACCCGCTTCTGAACTACTTGCAGAAACTCGGCTATCCAAGATAATACTAGCCCCCTTGTTACGTTTTATAGACGTCTTAACGTCACTGGCTATCTCCTTGAATTTTTTTTGAATCGCTTTCTTTTTCCATAAACAGTTTACGAGCCTAGTGACAGCTTCCTCTTCGAGTCCCTCATGTTGGAGACCCAGGCGTACCGTTTCGGTGAGGATCTTCTTGGCATCACCCGGTTTTCCCTCGTAAGTCTTACTTTGGACTAGGTACTCCCAACTTAGCTTCTTTATACACACTGGCTGTCGACCACAGCGATAGAGAAGGAACTCTTGACCGTCTGGAAGAGAAATGAGGTCAGACATGTCAAGCGATGATGTGAAACCTAGACGATTGGTCTTTTTAAACACAAATATTGAATTGTTGACTGAATTCGATAAAAGCGGCTATGTTTTCTTCGAGTGCGACTTTACACCAAGAAGTAACTTGTACCAGATTTGTCCATTTGAATGTCGCACATGGTAGCGAATTGGGAGTGTTTTGAACATACTATTATTTAAAATAGTGCATTGAAAATAAGCGTAATTTATTCTTCGCAAGTTAAAAAAAGGTCGTTATTTATAACATTTATGTATGTTCTCCTGCATTAGCTTGAAGATCTTTTAATGTTTCGGATAGTCCTATATCAAATGCAAGGGTTCTGCATCACTTTATTGTCGTTAATGTCTATTTACTAGCCTCAACTATTTACCAAACGAGCATTGAATTCATAATATGTTTCCTAGTCTCAAGGCATTGACTCTCTGTATGCACGTCGAATATTCCCCGTCAACAGTGTGCATGTCTGGAGTAGTTATTGATACAAATGTAAATGCACACTCACAATGCGGGCAACTCGTACCACAATTTGGTGGAACGATGTAAATGACTTGTGAACCCACAAAACCTGCATTTGTCTTAGTTTGTCCTTGTTTACGTCGCACTTGCCATATTACGCTTAATTTGGCTTAGTCTTGCCCAACAATCGGATGATAATCGGCGACATGCCGCATTCCTTTTTAGACAACATGGGGTAAAATTTCGATGTATTTTTCGCCGTGTAACATGTCCCGATTACCCAGTACATTTATTTCGCTATTGTATATTAGACAACGGGCCAAAGAACATATTAATATGTATGACTTTAGTAATATATTCTGTTAATAAAGTTTGTGCTCTAAACGTCGAATTATATCGGGGAAACATATCTTATATCCGTAAATTCCTTAGATTCTGAAACTTCATTTAAAAGTATCGAATTCGAGTTTTTTTTTCACATTGCGGGAAAATTTGCGCTTGTCAAACCATGTTCAACTCGATGTATTCTTCTGCTGCCATATTCACTGAGGAGTATGCAAGCTTTAGACGATTGGAGAATTGAAACATGTCTTTGTCGATTCATCAATCTCCATTTCGTTTGCAACGGAATGTCAAGTAAATTCATATGGTAACTCGAAAGAATATTCTGCTGAAATGGCGGATAGACGCAGCGCATACTGATAACAATATAGTAAAATAATCAATAATAAATGTTGCTAAAAATAGATTAATTAGTCCTATAAAGCAGCATAGATTTTAGTTAGTTTCGCGTTCGAGGTGTTCTCAATGTTTGCAAGTGTTTATTTTATTTACTCTGAAATATTTTGTCAATGATTTATTCCCTGATAAAATATCGGTATTAGTGAAACTGCTAATCCTATATCGATTAAGAATAATCGCCGCGATTATTCCCGTGGCAAATATGATAAATTAATTGTTTATGTCGATGCGCATTATTATTTGTTATAAATGAAGCACAGTGTACATTAACCGGGAGACTATCGAATTAATCCTACGATAGAAACCGTGATTGTATTCGAGGACAATTACTTTCTAGGATGAGTGTCTACTCCTCGGTGCAGTGAGTTGTAAGTAGGAAAAGCCTAGTGTTAAAGGTCACTAACTGTAATCAGATATTTAACTATTAGTAGGAGCCACTCCGTGAGAAGGTAGCTAAATTCCTAGTGCCAATTATTGTCTGCTCCCCCGCTGTAGTTGGCACGACAATCGACAATCGAGAATTATTGATAGGTAAAAACATTACGCTGCAGGTTCATAACCACAAAATAAATAAAATTTTATGTTATTTTTCATAAAACATAATCAATCAGCTTCAAAACCATGTAAAATTTGTTGGCAGTTTTCTACAAAATATGAGCGAAAAAGGTTTTTGAAAAATATCGAATTCTATGTTTTAATAGTAGATTTGCTGATCCCGGCAGGGGATGTAATTGTCCCTGAGCTAGACGTTCAAAATTATTGATTCACAATAAAAATGTGCAGTGCGAAAAAAAAAAGAAATTGGTTGAAAAAATTTTAATATCAAAATATCCACCAAAATTTTTCTTACAAGTCAGCTTATGATCCGTAACTAACGTATGAGCATATGCTCTTAAATTTAGCTTAGCTCCTGTAAATTGTAAATACTCCACCCACATCATAATCAGGTTTTCGGCGTTGCCGCGGGTGTCGTAAAGAATGAAAATATATGCCAATAAACTCAGTCCTAAATTTTCGATTCTACTTAGCCATAATTTGGCTTATTAATAAAAAATTTTACATTAATAAAATGAACGTAAAGTTGCGAACGCTTTGCTGTTATAGTTACCGGACACAGAAAAGATTGCCATTCGTCATCTACATCTTAGGCAATGGGAAAGATTGCATTAACATACTTTTAAGCAAATGATATGAGCTTGAACATAACCTAAAATTTACCCATATTAATACCCTGTTCTAATGTAAATTGATGGCAAGCTTGGGCTACTTGTTGAGTAATGGGGATTATTTTAATCAATAGCCTAAGCATTTGAAGTCTGCTAAAAAACTAATCTCTTACCCATGTCAGGAACGACTTCGTTAAATGCACCGCCGTAATTATAGAAACCCATGCCATTTGCGTCTTATGAATAAGAAATTTTACATTAGTAATTTATCTTTACACGAACTGAAAAATGCAATGCGCTACTATTACTATTATAATTACCCACTGGCACAAGCCATTCGTCACCTCCGTCTTAGACATTAACAAATCCGTACTATTAAACATGTGATATGAGCTAAACATCAATTTAAAAGTCTTACCCATATTAATATCCTGTTCGGATGTAAATTGATGGCAAGCTTGGGCTACTTGTTGAGTAATGGGGATTATTTAATCAATATGCCTAAACATTTGAAGTCTGCTAAAAAACTAATCCCTTACCCATGTCAGGAACGACTTCGTTAAATGCACCGCCGTAATTATAGAACCGCATGCCATTTGCATCTTATGAATAAGAAAATTTTACATTAATAATTTATCTTTATACAAACTGAAAAGTGCAATGCGTTACTATTACTATTATAATTACCCATGGGCATAGGCCATTCGTCATCTACGTCTTAGACATTAACAAATCCGTACCATTAAACATGTGATATGAGCTAAACATCAATTTAAAAGTCTTACCCATATTAATATCCTGTTCGGAAGTAACTTGCGGGTGGGCTACTTGGGTTACTTGTTGAGTAATGGAGATTTAATATACCTAAACATTTGAAGTCTGCTAAAAAACTAAACTCTTACCCGCGTCAGGAACGACTTCGTGAAATGCACCGCCGTAATTATAGAACCCCATGCCATTTGCGTCTTATGAATAAGAAAATTTTACATTAGTAATTTATGCCATTCGTCACCTACGCCTTAGACCGTACTATTAAACATGTGATATAAGCTAAACATCAACTTGAACGTCTTACCCATATTAATATCATGTTCGGATGTAAATTGATGGTAGCACGCTTGGGCTACTCGTTGAGTAATGGAGATTTACTTTAATCAATATGCCTAAACATTGATATGAACCCAAGTCTGCTAAAAACTAAACTCTTACCCGTATTCTGTCCGGCAGGCGAGTAAACTTCAGGTATGATACCGTTATGATAGAAGTGGTGGTCTTATTACAGAAATAATTTACATTAATAAATTTATCTTTATATGAACTAAAATGTGCAAACGCGTTACTATTATAATTACCCGTGACTTCTCCGGGCATATTAATATGCCATTCGCTGTGTACTGTTGTTAAGTAATCGAAAAGATCGCATTAACAAACGCATACATCTGAACATTTGATAGGAGCTGAACATCAACCCAAATCCAAAACGCTTTACCCTGTTCGGAAGTAACTTGAGGGTAGCCAACTTGGGCTATTTGTTGAGAAATGAAAATTTTACTTTAATCAATATTCCTAAACATTCAATATGAATAAAGTACATCTGCTTACTCGTGTTCTGTCTGCCAGGAAGGGGCGGGTAACTGTCACGTAGTTGTTGGTTGTGATCTACGCGTTAGGCATATAATAAAAATTAATGTATGCTAAAGCGCAGATCCTTGTGATAAGTCTGAACATGTAACTCAAGCTTACCTGTTTCTGAACTATGGTTCAATTTGTCATGAACAATACGGAGTTCCCCCTTATCTTTTAAAGCTTCTTCCACAATACGCTTGAATTCGGCTTTGATTTTTGGGTCACGCCATAAAGCGTCGATTGCTGCTTTTCCAAGATCTCTCACAGCCCCCGTTATTAGTTGTTCGAATACTTTTCCCGGATTGCGGTTTCCTTCTTGAACCAAACCTGATTCACGTATTTGGTTTTCGGTGGGCCTTTTTATGAATACTTCCCGACGGAGAATGTATCCGTTTTTTTTTATCGTGAAAGTAATTGTATCAGACATAAGTGATAATGCAGAAGCTTAACAAGCTGGGGTTTATTTATAGCTCTCAAAAGCAACACAAAAATTCAATTGTTCCTAACTAGACTAAAAATTTTGACAAAATAGCTTCGAGTGCAACTTTATTTATTATTATATACGGAATAACACCTCCTAACATAACCAATTTCCAGTATAAGAGAAATCTGTTCGCTATTTTGATATATTTGTATAATTTTATTTATAGTTTATGTCACACGGCGTTATATGATATTTTAAAAATGGTGTTACTGGTCACTGCAATTAATAATCTCACTCCATGTCTATGCATTAAGCTCGAAACGGCAGTCTACTCAGGTATTCGTCGAGGTGGATGTCAAACTTAGTAAGCTGTAATCAGTTAGTTACCGACTAAAGATACGACGATTAGCCCCATGTTTATGCATATCGTGATATTATGACTAACCTTATATGCAAGGGATCACGCTATTGCTATTGCGGTTAATGTCTATAAGAAATGATTTACTAGCCTCAACTATTTACCAAACATCATTTCGAGCAGCGAATATTCATATGTTTACTTGTCTCAAGGCATTGATTCTCAATCCTGGAGAAGTCGTTGACTAGAATATTCATATGAATGTAATAGCCATCTTCTGGATACAATAACATTAAAAGTTATGTACGCCGTATGTCAGGGGACAATAAGTTTTAGTCTTAAGCAATACTAAGTGATGGGGGTTCTCTTTGTAGTAACCCTCTCAGGTCAGTGTGAACTTTCCAAATATATCGGACGTTTGACTACAGTGTTATTATTACATATTTTCTGTAATAGTAATTTACATCGCATAATTTAGGGGTGAAGGTTCATCTGTAGCATATGACAAGTTAAAAAAACTTGCCCAAATTCAAACAAAGAGTGGTCCAAAAATAACTATTATTTCAATCAGTCAAGAAGTATTAATACGTGAGAACGGGAGATGTGATATTGCGTAAAAGAAAGAGCGACTTATCAAAGCTAGAATACTGCTCAAAAGTGCTACTCGCCAGCGCATATCTTGCCTTACCAATCGTCGCACGTCCAGATATTCATAGGTTGAAATATACGCAATCCAAACAAATGGTAAACAATTTTTTATCTAACTTCATAATTAGTTGAATATGGGACTAATATTCTTTCAGAACTTTTATTATCACTATTTGCAGCATCGTATATGTATATGCATGCTTGGCTTAACAGATATTATAATTCCACGAACTGTTGATGCTTTCCCAAAATGCGTTGAAGCAGTTTGTAAAGCGTTATTCTGGAATGTTTGTGTTCTATTTATGGGAACCCGTTTATATTACGGTTGATTAACTAATTCAAGCCTATCTAGGCACGATCCCGAAATTTTTCATGAATTAATTGGTAATCGGCTAATAGATCAATTGTAACTCAAAAGACTAAGACGTTACTATTATAGCCTTCTCAAATAAAATCTCCTCTACGTTCAATCGAAAGGAAATCCCAAATCTATTTTAAATTTAGTTATTGCCGTTGATTTTAGAACAACCATCATCTAAAAGGACCCAATATTTGTCACGTTAAAAACTACCATTGACAAGAATTTGGATGTCAAAGATTTTGTCAAAGCAACCAAGGAATATAAAAAAATGGCTTGTGACAACCAACATATTATGATCTGGGTTTCTAGTGTTAGTGTTTTGTGGTCTAGTCCTTATTAAAAAAGGATAAAAAGGAAAAGTATTCACAAGTCTACTGTCTGATCAATACACGCGGGAGAGAGTTCGTATATCGACCTTGGAATTTAGCCATTTCTATAATAATAATGACAGTAGTGACCTTAAAATTGGGGTTCAAATACTGACGTTGCTAGATCGGTCTTGTATACGCTGTCCCTAGATTATTATTTAATCTCGGATGTCACGTTTATTTCTTAGTTCAAAAGCCTATGGATCGGGGAATGTATCTACACTAAGCACTTAATTATGTAATAATTTTAACGTTAAAGATTCCAACGAAATCGAAGGCAAGTTCGACTCCGTATACCGGAATTAATTTAAATATTAAATACGATTTTTATTGAATATATAAGTATTCTAATTTTATAAGAACAAATTGCAAATGCTGATTTCTAGGGAAACTACGACTGCTTATATATCTTTTGACAGTTTCATTAAATTAATTAACAGTGATTTTTTCTTTCCTGAGGTAAGCTTCAAGTGTTGGGTAATATTTATTTTAAAAATGTAAGAAGCAATTGTTCTTTTTTCTGATTGCACTGTAATTTTTAGGTTTTATAGTGGATCTGATATACTGTATATTAGTTTCATATAAGTAATTCAATACAGGAATACTCCTCCTCTATTGTTATAAATATAATTGTGTTAATGTTCCGACTGAAATCAAATTTGATTTAAATCCAATTCGGTGGCTTTATAGTTCTTTATTTGCATATGAGCCATGTAAGTATGCTTTATAAAAAAAGTCACGTTCTGGAACAATTGACAAGCATCAAGTCAGTTTGTCTAATTGTTGCTGATAACGTTTTATACATAATATGTACAGTATTTTGTTTCTCATATGTATTTTAAAAAGTGAAACAATCCTTTTTCGAGACAGGTCTCGTTGTCTGTACAAATACGCGCAATGCAAGTTTGCATATTGTACGTGATTTCGTTATTATATGGCAGCACGATAGTATGAATGGATAACTAGAACCCTTTTTTTTTTCATTAAGTTGGGACAATTTGCAAGTTGCATACATATTTTGTCAATAAAACCCAAAAGACTCACTAGAGCGCTTGCATGAGAGAAAAATACCCGGACCCTAAGCCATTAATCTATTTCTTTGATCACTCTAATAAAATATTCTATTATTATCAACCATTTCTATTCTCTGCTTCTTTGTTCTTATCGATCGATTCTGGATGTTCTCTTCCCCGGACGGTAAGAAACTTTTTAAAGTGGAGACAGCAACGCTTTTTCCTTCGCGTAATTCATGGATTTTAATTGCCATTCTGTTAAACGAAAAATCCGAGTCCAGCTCAAAAAATCTTTTATTAAATAATTCTTAAAATCTTTTCATACGTAGATTTTTTATGTCTGGTAAGTAATTTGCTACTGGGTAGTTTGGTGAATTTAGATTTTACTTTAAAAATTTCTGGCTCAACTGCCTGAATCATTGTTTCAAGCTTTTGGTTTATATTGTCGAATGCAGCGAGAGACCGAAATTAATAGCCCGCAAAATTCGGCAGAAGTGAGCATTTTTGTAGATTTGTTTTTTATGGAACAAATGCGTTTGATAGTAATTATTTAATGATTGTAATTTAATCTATTGTAAATTTGTGGATTGTGGTTGAACTGGATTATTTTTTATAATCAATCTTCGGTCTATCAAACGCCGATTGAGCGTTTATTAAACAATACTAATACATCATAGCCGTAGACTTAAAACATTTGGTTTATGTGGGTGGTTCAGAGAGTTCTTGCCGCGGGCCTTGCATTTTACAGGCTGTCAGTGTGAGACAAATCGACACTAACCAAATAAAAACTAAAGTTTTTGATCTTCAAAACAAACCAAATTTGGTTTGTTGTTGAGATATCCTCATTTGAATCCTGTTCGTTAAAACCAATGGCTCAATTTTCGCACAAACAATATCGTTTCTATATATTCGTCGAATGGCAAAACGGTACAGACGTTAGTACAATTTATGAAAATTAACTATTGCTTGTGGACATAAAGCACCGTCATTACGCAAAGTCCGACACTGGGTTAATGATGGAAGAGGCCGCTTAGAAGATGAACCTCGATCTGGGAGGCCTTGCGAAGCGGTGACACAAAAGAATGTGACCCTAATAAAAACATACAAGGGTTAGCAAATGAAACAGGAATTTCAGTCGGTAGCGTCTGTACCGTTTTACATAAAGAATTAGAGCTACGTAAAGTTGCTGCTAAATGGATTCCGCACCTTCTAACGGAAGAACATAAGAAGCGACGGGTGAAAGTTTCAAGACAGCTCTTATCAATTTTGGATAAGGGCTTCAATAATATTATTACTGGAGATGAAACGTGGATACACTTTTTCACAGTTTTCAGTAAAAATCAGAATAAAGTTTGGATTGGGAAGGATGAAAACAGGCCAACAATCGTGCGGACTGCCGAAATTGTAAAAAACGAATGTTTTGCATTTTTTCTCAGTAAATGGAGTAGTCGCGCAAATTGTTGTGCCTGAAGGTCAGACAGTAACTGAGTGAGCTCTATTCTAATCAAATTCTACCCTCTGTTTTCCAAAAATATAAGGAAATTAGGGGAGGAACAACCGTCCGCGATGTGATGTTGCATCATGACAATGCTGCGCCTCACTGCAGATCTAATGTTGCAGCCTATTTGAAGAAAGAGCGGTTACTGCCACATCCACCATGCAGTCCAGACCTGGCTCCGTGCGACTTTTTTCTATTTCCAAAAATTAAGAAAGTGTTTGCTGGAAAGAAGTATAATGATATTGTAAATTTGTCTAGGGCTGTTCAGGCAATTGTTTATGGTATATCACAAGAGGAATATCACAAGTCCTTTGAAATTTGGCGGGAGAGGCTACAAAGATGCATAGATTTAGAAGGAGACTATTTTGAAGGATTGACTTAATTAGTTTCAAATTTATTATGTAGTATCATAAAATAAAGCCAAGCGGCAAGAACTTTTTGAACCACCTCAAACAGTCGTTTCTGTGCAAATTGTAAACAAAACGTGCGTTAAACAAAAAAAAAACGTGTTTCGCATGGGTTTGTTTAATGTTTTCTTTAACAATATTATATCGTGAAAATTATTAGTACCCAAACTCTTAATATTAATACCAGTGCTCGTGTTGCACAAACTCAACCTATCTACTATAGGAGAATTTCGCGTAACTTGCTTTAAGAATCGGCTTGTTTAGACGTAGATACTGCTCAGCCAAAAAAAAGGTTTTATAGTACTATTAGTGTTTTTGCGCCGCTATTGCTAATCAACTTGATTTTGTTAATTTGAATTTTTGCACTTAAAAGGTAGAAAGCGAAAATAGGAAGAGCGACTTAAAGAAGACCAATCTATGGCATTGAACCCTCTGCGGCGTCATGTTTACTTTGTCTAGTTTTGTTGCAGTATGCCCCATAGTACTGTAGTATGAGAATAAGAATTTGTTTATTCTATGGTAATATTACATAATACACCCCCTGACAAAATTATAAGAAGACTAGTAAAACACATGAAACCCCTTTATTTTTGAAAATCTCCATTATCAATACTAATACGTACTATGTAACCCACAATGATTTTGGTACCGGTTTGGAACTAATTGATTGTATTTTTCGAAAAAAAATAGTGTGAAATTTAAATTATTTACTGTAATGAAGAGTAGTTCGATGAAGTGAACACATTACATTTTCATATACGCCCACAATGATTTTGGTACCGTTTGAAGCTAATTGATTGTATTTTTCAGAAATAATAATAATATATTCAATCCTGTTGTCGTTTCAAAGCTGTAGTTCGATGAAGTAGCGAAACTTATATTACGTATTAGTATGGATAAAATTTTCGAAAATAAAGTAAAACTTTGTCTTCTTGCTTATAGTTTTGTCAGACACATCAGAAAAGACAACAGCGTCAGTGCAGCAATTTGTCTTTGTACCAACAGGACAGTGATTTCCTGTAAATTGCAAAAATTATTTAAACAGACTAACTGTTGAGTCTCTAGTCTTCAATCAGAAGCTTAGAGTCATGTACATGATAATGACATAACCAAGATGATGTATGCAAATTGCACGGCTGGGATGTGAATGTTGATATTATTCTAAAAACTATCCCAAGGATTTCGAATTTGATTCTCAACTCTTCGCCCCTGGCTAAGCATATGGCGCTCTCAGCAGAACGGGAGGCATTTATTTCACCGACAATCATTTCACCGACAGTACATTTCACCGACAGTCATTTCACTTGACACATTATTTATCGCACTTATCATTGGTTTTCGATGAAATTTATGTCTGTCGGCGAAATGATTGTCGATGAGCCGGACCCGTCACAATGCTACTTATTGCAAGCGTTTGAATAAAATTTACCAAGCAATCCCTATTATTGGGAGATTGGGAGATTGTTGCTTGGTCAATGAATGGTTAACTTGAAAAAATGCGAGTTTTCTGACCGTATTAGATTGATTGGTTGGCTGTACAGTCGTGTGACATTATAATTATAGTGCCATGCATACAAACAGTTAGTTAGTTATAGCGATTTTCCAGAGATGGCAGAGGCCATAGTAAGTTTTGTGAACATGTCGCAACATTTATTAAAACCGTACGAAAGAAGCAATACTAATACAGTATGAGAAATGCAATAGTTTATCGCATAGTTCACATTTTACTAACATGTTGTTATTCCATACTTTTATGTCAGAACAATGGTGAATCGTCATTCTCGAAAACGAAAAACAAGGGCAAAGCCAAACAAATTGAAGACATTGAGATCGATGATGTAACCCAATCTGACGAAAACCTGAGTGCAATCCAATTGAGGGAACAGTTGATCAAATGCTTAGAATCAATAGCCAACAACAATGACAGACGACATCACTTCATCAGACTGCATACCTTGTTATTGACAACAGAAGATAGATTGGATGATGATCAATTGGAAAATATATTGAGGACAATAGGAACTGCAAACATTTCATATATGAAACATAAGGTAACAACTGGTATGGAGTTGGAGCTACATCTCAGGACATATGTGTTGGCATTGGAAGCATGGGGCAGGAGACCACTCATAATGACAAAGGAATTCCGCGAGTCCTTGTATGGACATCTTGCTGTTTTGAATGATTTTCATCAACGGCATGCTGAAACACTAAAGAATGGCCTAAACAAAAACATTAAACCGGAGTACAATCCATACAATGAACAAAGAACTGCATATGACTTATATTCTAATTTGGCGAAAGGTATCAATTGCCAGAATTACAATATTGATTTCTTACTGATACATCTTCGGGATACTCTTCATGCAATGCATGATGATGAGACGGTCTTATTTAAGATTATAAAAGCACTGAAAACTGTGTTCACTAGCTTAGTTGGAATTTTACCTGGTATGGCTAACATTATGGCAAACATTCAAACACCATTTGATAACAATACTTCCCTTGAGACATATAATATTATTCAACAAGCACTAAGTCCCAAATTTCCTATTAGCTATTGGTACAAGGATTGGAGATATTTATACAGCACATATCAAGCATTTGTTGAATGGTCAGATATACCAATCAATAGGGATTTAGTTTTCAAAGGTGAATTGATGATTATTAAAGATTTATGGAGATTTGGAGAACAAGAATGGGCCAAAGCTGCTGTAAAATCAGAATCAGAGGCAGATACCTTTAAGTCTAACTTAAAGCACACTCTGGTCCATATTGGTGGTTATGCCCCTGTATCATATCCATACTCTTTATTGTATGGCATATTAGAAATTGCTCAAAAACTCATATTGTCTACAAAGAATACTAGTACTTTGGCTCACTGCTATTATCTTGCAAAATTGACACTTGATATTGTATCAACAGAAAATGTTCAATTTAAAGCAATGGAAGTCTTGATGACACTTTATAACAGGGAACCAGATACTGTTACTAATACGTTTTCAGTTGTCAAAGTAGATCTATCCCAGCATATTGAACATTTTGCAGAATTGGATGGAGCTAATGCTAATAAGAGAAAACTTCAGGATGCAATAGAATACATTAATATAAAATATAAATTTACTATGCCCACATTAGTATTAGAAACATCAATGTCAAAGCAAAAAGCAGTGCTAGAACAGAATCCTGAGGAATTGCTTGATTCCAATCCAAATGATTTGTTAATTTTGGATATGGTAGCAGATCACCTCACATGTCCCTTTACACAGAGGGTTACAGATGATTTTAGAATTCTACCATGTGGACACAAAATCAGTTATTCAGCATTAGAGACATTTATGAAATTCAATTATTATTCATTAAAATGTTTCTATTGTAACAGGGGAATCAAAATCAAAGATACTAAATCATTGGAAAGTTCACCAATCTATAAAGCATTGCATGAAAAGTTTGTTGAAAATGGACATATTACACCAAAAGACAACACAAAAAACTTTACAGCAGCTGTAGAAAACCAGGATGATAGTGATTCTGAGGAATATTCTATAATGAAAACAAAGTTTTTATATTTACTAAAAATGAAACCTAAGAAAACTCTTGTGCAAAGAATTAGAAGACCAAAAGGACAGCATCCTACATACAGACAAGGCAAGAAAGCTCTGAATAATAGAAGATACAGAGATGCAATAACCTGGCTGGAAAGAGCACTTGAGCATTATCCTAATAGTTCTACCATTCAGTGTGATCTTGCTTATGCATATATGCAAAGTTCAGACTACCAAAAATGTTATCATTATATAAATGAGACTATCAAGAATAATCCTAAAAACGCCAGAGCTTGGGCAATACTTGGGGATAATTACAGGCTTCAATCTGAATATAGACAGTCTCTTAAAAATCTTAAACAGTCATTGGAGATTGATCCAAATAGTGCATTTGCATTGAGAGTAAGGGGACGTGTCTATCACTCGCTTGATCAATATGACAATGCGTTAGTCGATCTCAATAAATCGTTGGAGATTGATCCAAATAACGCGTCTACATTGGAAGTAAGGGGGAAAGTCTATCTCATGCTTGATCAATATGACAATGCATTAGTTGATCTCAATAAAGCATTGGAGGTTGATCCAAATAACGCGTCTACATTGGGAGTAAGGGGGGAAGTCTATCGAATGCTTGATCAATATGACAATGCATTAGTCGATCTCAATAAATCGTTGGAGATTGAACCACCAATGCATTTGCATTGAAAGTAAGGGGGAAAGTCTATCGAATGCTTCATAAAAATAACAAGCACGTCAATACCGAAAACGAGACAAATGCTTTGGACGATCTCAATAAATTAACAGGAAATTAAACTGCATTATATATAAACTATAATATATTTATCAATTAGTATCTAGTTTGGAATAAAATAAAAATTTTAACTTATACTGTGTATGCACTTTTTGGATTGTAGCTATCTCAAATTGTGCCACGTCTACGAGCTATACGTAAAGACGTTAAACGTTAAGCAAATTAGTCTAACAAAGATTACGTTTTATGATGGCGCTAAAGTTGATGTACTGCCACAACAAACTCACTAATTATGTGTTTTTATCTTTCTGACAGTGTGGTTTCAACCCCTTGCACATATGAATTAATCTCTCCACATTGACAATAATGAACACTGTTTAATTTCTTATCAATTTTTTCGCTACCGTCATTTAAGTAAACATGCGCTGTATATATTTCAAAGCGTCGAACTGCCAATTCTCCTTTTCCTCGGATGAAAACATCGCAATAGCTCCGTGCTAGATTTTCTCAATCATTCTAGTTGTGCCAAAGTATGAGCGGATTTTGTGAGTTTTTGATGAATGCCAAATATCATGCTAAAGGAGGTTACTCATTTTTAGATTATGGGAGAGTTCAATCAACAAACTAATTGTTATCAAATTACGACAATGACAACCATCAAGAAGGGTGAAGAGGTACTTATAGTCGATATTGACGTTCCAGTTCCTGATTCTTTTCTTCTAACGGTTGTAAACCTTGATCAATGGCCTTTATAAACTATGGGCCGCATGATAACTTTAGACTATTAATCGAATATGGGTTTACAATTCCCAATAATCCATTCAATTATGTCTCAAGATATGTTTTTTATTTGATACCTTTCTTCTGTTTCAACATTCAAAATTCTAATTTTGTTATTATTGCATAATAGCGATTGCACTCTACGCGAAAAAGAAATCTCTTTTTGTCTGTTGACGGCTCTTCGCTTGCGCGTCTTACATCCATTCATCCTTCATCAACACATGCGCAGTCGCTCATCGCCCGTTGGAAAGATACACTAATAGGACGACTGGATAAGATAAATGAAGAGAACGACCAGTTGGTATTTGGTTATTTGGAGAGAATGTTTCAGACGACGTTAAGCAAAGCTGACATAGTTATGAATAATCTGGTGGGTCTCCTTTATGTAGTCAAACAATAAGTAAGGCTGGCTGCGCATTCGAACACGTTTTAACGCTTTCATTGGTTCTAGTCCAGAGAATCCAATCTACCAGATATGGGACAAGTCAGTGAAAATATTAAAGTCGGTAATTGACCTTCGTCATGCAAAATAATGTATGTCATTGATAATAAGCTTCGGTTGAATTTTCGTATGTAGGAGGTTTAATCCGTTAAAACAGTTAAGCATCACCTTGCCAGTTAATGTTGCCCCAACAGTTTTACCTATCAGAAATTTACGATAATTGGCGAAATTTTACATTTTATCATTCACCAGTAGCATTGAAAGATGCGTTGACTTTGCAAGTACCGTCCGTAGAGTCGTACTGCTGCTACATCATGATGGTGTTCTTAATTTTTTGATAGCAGACAATTAAACGTACACTCCCCTGCCAAAAATTTAGGACCACCCCTGCCGATCAATTAGTAAAACATAATAAATAAAATTATAAAACACGATCAACCAGCTTCAAAACCATGTAGCAGTTTTCTACAAAATGTGAGCGAAAAAGGCTTTTGAAAAATATCGAATTTTATATGTTTTAATAGTAGATTTGCTGATCCGGAAATAATTTGGAAGGGAGTATAATTGTCTCTGAGCTAGACGTCCAAAATTATTGATTCACAATAAAAATGTGCAAAAAGAAATTGGTTGAAAAAAATTTTAATAACCAAAATTTTTCCTACAAGTCAGCTTGGAAAGCTCTTCATTCTATATGATCCGCAACTAACGTATGAGCATATGCTCTTACACTTAGCCTAGCTCCTGTAAACCGTAAATACTCCACCCACATCATAATCGGTTTTCAGCGTTGCGGATGTTGTCAAGAATGGAAATGTATGCTAATAAATCCAGTCCTAAATTTTTGATTCTACTTAGCCATAATTTGGCTTATAGAAAAAATTTACATTAATAAAATGAACTGAAAGTTGCAAACGCTTTACTGTTATAGTTACCAGATTGCCATTCGTCATCTACATCTTAGGCAATGGGAAAAATTGTATTAACATACTTTTAAACAAGTGATATGAGTTGAACATAACCTAAAATTTACCCATATTAGTCCTGTTCGAATGTAAATTGATGATTGCGAGCTTGGGCTACTTGTTGATTTATTACTTTAATCAATATCCCTAAACATTTGATATAAACACAATTCTGCTAAAAACTCAACTCTTACCCGTATTCTGTTCGGCAGGCACAGACGAGCCAACTTCGTGAAATGTATCACCGTTATAATAGAACCCCATGTCATTTGCGTCTTCTGAATAAGAAAATTTTACATTAGTAATTTATCTTTATACAAACTGAAAAGTGCAATGCGTTACTATTACTATTATATTACCCATGGGCACAAGCCATTCGTCACCTACGTCTTAGACATTAACAAATCCGTACCATTAAATATGTGATATGAGCTGAACATTAATTTAAAAGTCTTACCTGTATTATTATTCTGTTCGGATGTAAATTGATGGCAAGCTTGGGCTACTTGTTGAGTAATGGGGATTATTTTAATCAATATGCCTAAACATTTGAAGTCTGCTAAAAAACTAATCCCTTACCCATGTCAGGAACGACTTCGTTAAATGCACCGCCGTAATTATAGAACCTCATGCCATTTGCGTCTTATGAACAAGAAAATTTTACATTAGTAATTTATCTTTATACAAACTGAAAAGTGCGATGCGTTACTATTATTATTATAATTACCCATGGACACAAGCCGTTCGTCACCTCCGTCTTAGACATTAACAAATCCGTACCATTAAATATGTGAGATGAGCTGAACATCAATTTAAAAGTCTTACCAATATTAATATTCTGTTCGGATGTAAATTGATGGCAAGCTTGGGCTACTTGTTGAGTAATGGAGATTTACTTTAATTAATATGCCTAACACATGATATGAACTCAAGTCTGTTAAAAAACTAAGCTCTTACCCGTATTCTGTCCGGCAGACAAGTAAACTTCGGGCATGGTGCCAAATTCGTGGCGGTTGCCTTATTAATAGGAAGAATTTATATATCTTTATGAATTGAAAAGTGACAAATGCCTTACTATTATAATTACCTCTGACATCTCCAGACATAGGATTAGAATGCCATTCGTCACTTGCGTCTTAGATATTGGGAAGATTGCCATTAACAAATCCGTACCAATTACATGGGCTAACATCAACTTACCCATATGTTCGGAAGTAACTTGCGGGTGGGCTACTTGGGTTACTTGTTGAGAAATGGAAATTTTAATTAATCGATATTTCTAAACGTTTGATATGAATTAAAAATTAAACTTACCCGTGTTCTGTTCGGCAAGCAAAGCTTCGGGCATGGTGCCGAATTCTTGGCGGTTGCCTTATTAATAGGAAGAATTTATATGTCTTTATAAATTAAAAAGTGACAAATGCCTTACTATTATAATTACCTCTGTCATCTCCAGACATAGGATTAGAATCCCATTCGTCACTTGCGTCTTAGATATTGGGAAGATTGTCATTAACAAATCCGTACCACCAAACACGTGATATTAATATGAGTATTATTACCCTGCTCGGAAGTAACTTGAGAGGGGGCTACTAGGGCTACTTGTTGAGAAACGGAGATTTACGTTAATCAACATGAATCCAGAGTAGGCTAAAACGCAGATACTTGTAACTCACGCTTACCGGGATTATTTTGACATAGTTTGTCAAATACAATACGGATCCCCCCCTTTTTTGAAGCATCTTCCACAAGACCCCTGAATTCAGCTTTGATTTCTTGGTTACGCCATAATTGTTTCAACGCGCTTTCTTCAAGAAACTGCATCATTAGTTTTTTGAAGACTTTCCAAGGGTCATGCGAACTATTTTTAAGGACACAATCCCCCAGTATTTTCAGTATCTGTTCTGACGTTGGTTTTTCTATGACTGTTCTTTTGTTCGGTTGACGGAGAATGTAGCAGTGTTTTTTGATTTTGAAATATACACCAGACATAGTGATAGTGTCGAGAAGCTTGAGAGGAAATTGGGTCATTATTTTCACGAAGTTTATATCTCTCAATAAGGCTACACAAAAATTAAACGGGATTGAAAAATTTGACAAAAACGTACAGATTATGACGTTACTAAAAGTAGTGCAATCGTAACAAGCACATCATTTGATACCAGTTAGCCTTATTGATGGGAAAAATTTGATTATTATGGGAAGATGCATTTTCGTGTAATATGACACAAGCTTTCGAACCGACCATAACAGTAATAAACATACTGTCATGATATTATCTGCCTATTTCGGATTAATTTGCAAGCCTTCTATAAGGAATGTGAAATATCCGAAGGTGGAATACAATACGTCAATAGTTGTACTTTTTTTCCACCTCTAACGCTTTATTCCTATGTGTTCTCACCAGTTCATCGAGCTGATCTCATTTTGAAAATCAGATACGGTCATTCTATTTACCTATTTTTGAGCTGTATGATAAAAAACAAATCATTGCATAAATAACGTTAGTGATTAGCTCGATAAACTATAAATGTTTATTTGTTTTTTCCCCTGCAACATCCCGAATGGGAAACTTTCAAACATTCAAACATGCAGGGCACAGAAATCCGTTTCCAGTAATGAGTGCTTGATAAACTTCTTACATAATCAAAATGTAATAGTAAGCTTGCATATTTTTTCTAAAAGACAATTCAAGCGACTTTTTCTTCTCAAATCTCTGTTTTTAATATGTATATATATAGGTATTGCAGCTTTTGTGACCATTCATCAACAAACTGCCACAACATTAAATCTTCTTATTTTTGTCATTAAATTTTACTCTTCGAGCTAATTTGTGCTATTGACTTATTTGATGGTGGCTATATAGGATAACTTACATACAGCACCTCGGGCAAAGCAAATCGGTCGTTATAACTAGCGGTCCCTATATGCAGCATTTATTATTTGAGAATATATATAAAGCACAGGTGGTTATTGTTATTATAAGCATCATCAGTCTAGATCCTTATAAACAAAATTAACTGTATCAATAGAGAATAATGCACAATTATGTTCAATATACCATTGTAATTGTAAAGGTTTCAGTTTCACATATTACAAATCATACATGTTAGTATGTAACCCGTGCTATATAACTGGGGGTACGATATCCGTAGTATTACAAACATATAATCCATATGAAAATCCATATATGAACCGATCATCTGATCATTTGCCAAAACTATATTTTTTTTCCAAAACGCCTTATGCAATTATTGCATACACCCTTATCATTTTCGCCCATCGAATTTTTCGCCTAAAAGCGTTTGATTTCTAGAAAGTATTTATTAATGGCGTTCATGGGTTTTTTTATTTGTAACTTAGACGATAGATTCTTTCACGCTTGATTTACCAGAAAATGGTGCCCTTTCTTCCCGTAAAGAAGCTTTTTACACATAAACTAGGAATGATCAATTGTTATTAGACAAATGATCAGCAATTAAAGACTTAATGCGGAATTTCACTAAATAGGCAAGGATTCAAGGAGAGCATGAGTAAACAGTGGAAAGATAAGAGTGTGTCGTATGCATAGCGCCTGCACAATGTCCTCGGCGTTTACGTCATTACTGTTTATATTGTAAATGATTGGCGTCATATATGGATTTTCATATACAACAACGAGCTTCGACCGTATATGGAAATTATTATATGAAAAGAGACTAGTATATCAATTTTTGAGGTTGCAATGGCACAGCACATGTGTATGTCGTCAATCATTGTGTATGCTCTCCTGCATTAGCTTGAGAAATCTTTTAAAGGTTTCAGATATCGCGAAGATTCCTCTCGGTATTACCTCATTGGTTAATACCTAGCAAATGCCTCAACCACAGTACATGTATGCGAAAAAGGAAATTGAGAAAGGGATGGATTTAATGAAGGGGAGATACCAGATTTGGCTGATATCCATTAATGATTACCAAAAGCAGAAACTAACTGTTCTTTTCTTTCCCACTTTCCATGTTGGTAATAGTAAGGGGGATGTGTCTCCTTTTTTCTTTTGTCTGTGGCCTGATTAACATGAAACTTGCGTTCTCACCAGTTTATCGAGCCAGTCGAATTGGGAAATTGCAAATACAAATTTGGTAAAAAGGAGTAATCCCACATAGCGGCTTGATGGATCCAATGGTCGATATACCATATTTGGTCGAAATAACCTTTTAAGGATATACCTGATTGGCGAATATGCCGACCCTCTCTTAACTAGACAAGTGGAATTAAAGAGCACCTACTAAATAGCGTTGATGCATCTCAAAACACATAAAGAATAGGCTCGTATGGTGACCATTTATTACACAAGTTGTATATAGTAAGACATATACTTTATTAGTTAGCAACACACGTTTTGCGTCCGACATACGCTGGGATTTCTAACAAAGAACGCAGAACTTCAATTAGCCGTGGATAATACACTTTCATTTTAGTTAATTGCCAACATGGTCATTCTTTAGACTTGATCTTCCAGCTCGCATCATTTCATCTACTAGCAAGAAATTACTGGCTATCACAGAGCTAATAAATAATAAATAAATAAAAGTGAGTAAATAGCTCAACATAGAACCGTACAATTAACATCCATTAACATACCATGAATGCAACATATGTCGCACTACCCGATAATTATCCCAGATGCCTTCTGTAACAGGATAAAGAGTTTCTCCAGTCTTCAGATCCACACCGACAATATGGCCCTCAGCATGCTCTTCCTATGTGGGAGAGATAATCGTTGATTTCCTGTCAGAAAAGAATACGAAACAAACTCAAAGCTTCTGCCTGTATGTGTAACTTATGCTCTTGCCTGCAATGCCACCATCGTTTTTTGTGCTTCATGTCCAGCGTTCTGCGCTAATATCTTGGGAATAATCAACATTGCATCCCCGAATGCCTGGACACCCATTTTTGCGAGACCTTTTACGCTATCTTTATATTTCGTTAGGTGAGCCGATAGAGCTACTTGGAATGCACCCGCGCCAGGAACTACAGAAGCATCTTCTATTGCATTCTTGACTGCTCGGAGACCATCACGAACAGCATCATTAATCTGAGCAATAGTGTGAGCATTCGGGCCTAGGTTTATAAAAAAAACAACAATTGATTAGCAAGCGTGAAGCAACACGCGATCACTGAAATATGCTTACCTTTTATTAGGAGGGTAACTGATTTAGGGTCTTTGACGTCTTCCACGAAAGTAAACTTTTCTTCTCCAAGAACATGCTCGTATACAAGCCCAGCATAGCCAAGCACATCAGGCGTAAGATCATCAACCGAATTCTGGGCGACACCTCCACAGACAAGTTGCAATCTGGTACGAGTTGAAGAAAAAAAAAGTTAGGATATGTCTTATTGATATTTGTTCCCTTACTGATATAATTATATGGAATGTCTATCATTACCTTTCCATGTTTCTTCTCTTGGCACGTCTTAGAGCCAGAATGCCATTTTTACATAGGATATCCAAAGACAATGGATCAATTCCTTTCTGATTAATCACAACAAAGCCTTTTCCCGAGTCCCCAACGACCTGTTTCTTCAATTCAACAACCTTCTTAACTTTTTCATCAGTAAATTTACGTTCCGATTCGACAAGTTTTTCCCGTTGTTCAGCCGACGAGTAAAAAAATCCCGAATTGATCTCACTGTTTTAATACACAGAGATTTAGTTCCAAGTATGACACACATACGAGTTTTCTTTCTTATCCTTCAAGCATTTCAACCAGTGTTACCTCTTTTCATATTCCAAAGAAACATTTAAAGTCAAAATATATGCATCTTTAACGCGCTTGGGCATATCAGGGTGACGCGCTCCATGATCCATCACTAATCCACGGATTAACCTTGAATCTATCGCTGTCTTGTGTTGCATCTTCATAATCTCAACCATGTGCAAATCTATCGGCTCTCCTTCATGTTTAATAGCCAACACAGCATCAACCACAGCGTCGGTTAACGGATCGGCAAGGCTCGAGTGAACTTTGGTACGGAGGGAAGTACGAGCAACGTTGATCAACAATTCGCGGTCGATTGGTCGTTCGACTTTGAATTTATCAAGAAACTGTGTTGAAAATAATAATAAAACCCATTAATATGTTATAGTGAAAACGTGTATGGTCGGAGAACAGAGAAAGAAGAGGCTATATATTACCGCTAAAGCTTCTTTCCGGGCAAGATCAAACCCTTCTGTGATGATTCTAGGATGTAGGCCCTCAGATATATATCTCTCCGATTGTCTCATTAGTTCTCCAACAAGCAGTACGATAGACGTTGTGCCGTCTCCAGTGATCTCATCTTGGGCGGTAGCAGCACGAGCTATCATTGCAGCCGTGGGATTTTGTATTTGCTGAGATATTTGTTTGATTAATTTTAGGCTGTCGGAATGAATTATTAATTAAGGAATTAAATCCTATTATTATTCCAGCGAGATACTCACCATCTCACTTAAAAGCACCTTTCCGTCCTTGGTAAGTTTGATATTTCCTGCTCCATCCACCAACCTATTTATTGCGGAATTTCCGTCAGCACAATACAATAATGGAACCAGCACTTATGAAATCAGCGATAATTAAATGTCATATTTATAGTGAATGTCAAGGTCTGTCTATCAGGTAAAATTCTACCGATTCATTGAATTAAATAAAAGGATGTGAAGATCTATATATTATGATAGTAAGCTGCTAAGAAGCAAAAGCTATCACCGGGATTGAAAGTTCAACTCACATTTTTATTGTTCCTTTCGGGCCTAGATTTGACTTGATTACATCTTTTAAACCGATCGCTGCTGTTATATTGAGCTGCAGAGCCTGCCCCCGTCGGGCAACTTCCGAGTTGGGATTAATAAGTTGAACAGCGCTACCAGACCTATAAAACAGATCAAACAGTTGTTACCTTGAACCAATTTACAAACAAACGCTTTTCAAAGGTGCAAGAACATATGGAAGACATGTTACATTATTATTTATGTGCCGAATAAGAACGAGAATGCTCTTTCTCTTCCTACGCGACTATTGCGAATGTGTAAGAAAAGATTGCTTTTAAGCATTGTGTAACATAATTTTCTTACGTCATAAATAAAATACCAGATTTTTTACGCTTTAATTGTAGTAATAGTTAAGAAAGAGGCCAATATTAAGAAGCACAATGAGACCTACAATGATGCCAACAAATGGTTCAAATAAAGCAGAAAAGTCAGAGAGAGGGAGCAAAATGGATAAGCTAGACAGTAGATCCGATAAAGATAACCTTGTATACCTGGACGATTATGTAGACAGTAAGTGTTAACGTCGCTCCCCAGGGATTTCAGTATTCTGACCGTTATTTCAAGCGTTTTTTTCTTACTGCTTGCTGTAGCGATCGAGTCTCTCCCTTCGGAGCTTCAGCGCAACTTTTCTCTTATGCGGGAACTTGATGCTCGTTGCGAAGGTAGGTCACATTGACTGAAATTTACATGCATTAAGCTTCGGTAAGTCCGCTAATCAGTTTTTCGTAACAGAGGCGATGAATGTCGTTGCTAAACAGGCTGCTTTTCTACTGGAAAATGCCGAACATATAGCGCCTGAGGAACGTATAGCCGAATTAAAGAAATTATCAGATTGTTTAACGGAAAGTCTAAAGGATGCCGAAGAAAAGTGTGCCATGGCGCAGGCTACATATAAGACGGTAACTGGTTTGAGCTTTTTCGGTGTTTACCTGTCGTTTGTGTATGTATAGTTAGTTGCTTGTTATGGTTGTTCGACGTCTCTGGTGTCAAATTGAAATGGATATATACGCTGTGTCAGGTTGATCGTCACGTAAGAAGACTAGACGATGACTTGCAAAGATTCGAAGACGAACAGATGACAGGACCGGGTAGAATAGTTCCAACGGCGCAACCTATTACTTCAACGACTGAAACACCACGAAAAAATGGTCAGAAAGAAAAAGACAAGAAAGAATCACGCGATAAACGAACTCACCAGAGTAAATATATCTTGATCGCAACTTGTTGCTTACCTTTATCCTATGCTGACTTTTTATACTGTTAGCAGCACAAGAGCAGCCGAATAATAAGAGTGAGTTTATACTTTTCTTTTGGTCTTGCTAGTGTTATCGAAACTGACATGATCCGTCAATGTATTAGGGCGTAAACATAAAGATAATGGTACTCCACCACCGAGCAATGGTCGTAACGGTCATGATAAAGATCGCAACGATAAACCAAAGAAGGCACGAAAAGATAGTAACAAGGGACAAAGAAAGACAAAAGACAAACAGTATGGATCATTTCAATGTCAATTGAATCTTTAGCGGCCATATTTTAAATGCAACTATTCATTCTGATAATATGCATTCCCTGCAACCACCGTTACTATACGTTTAGGAATAACGTCCAAACTACAGATATGCCTATAGATCCCAATGAGCCGACGTATTGCTATTGTCAACAAGTGAGCTATGGCGAAATGGTAGCCTGCGACGATGACGAGTGTGAAATCGAGTGGTTCCATTATGCCTGTGTAGATCTTAAAGCTCCGCCACCTGGGAAGTGGTATTGTAAAGAGTGTACAGAAAAACAGAAAAATAAACAAAAGAAATGAAATAAGGTGACGTAGAAATGTCTGTATCCTGTTTTCTTGATAACAGGCGTTATGTGTTCTTGACGAGATTCTGACTTTTTATATTTATTACCGTAGATAACAAACGTAAGTTGCATAGAGTGCAAATATTATAATTATTGGCGTGTACTAGCCAGAAGCACGCATATTGTGCATTATAATTAGACAATTTAGTAGGTTCCAAGACAACGATTGTAGGACGTGCCAAATAAAATCTCAATGAATGAAAAGACATAATCTGCCGTATACGCGCGTCTTGCGTACACAGAGCTACCTTTAAAGTGTGCACATGCACAAACTGCTCACCTGCATTTACAAATCAGACACTGTATGAGGTTGACCTGATGCAAAGAATGGTTAAAAATAAACTTTGTGAATTCTGATGACTTTATGCAGACTATTAGTACATATACATAGCCATAGTAATAGAAAATTTGAACACCCACCAACACACAAAGTGAGATGCACAAGTTATCTACGTCATCTATTCTCGTTAAAAAGCATGACAAAAAGTCTTAGTCTATGAGTGTTTGGCTTTGAATTTCGCTACTTTGACACAATTGCAACCAGCCAAAATAATGTAACAATAATCCTTATTTTTGCAAGTATAATTTTATCATTATAGAATGCGATCCGCACATACGATTGTATCGCAAAGCCATCAATGAGTATAACCCAAATATTTCTTTGGCCATTCTGCTGCAAATTCAATATTCACTTTTTCTATTATTACAATCATTAATGATACAATTGTCATTGTCATTAATTTTTTCATCTTTATTATTTCGTGGTTTACATTTTCCCCTTTACTTTGTTGGGAAGCTCAACAGCTTTTCCTTCACTGAGTGATTTTCGAATTTATTAAATCAAAATTTTGGATATAACGTCTGGCGAGTAACCGCTTGTTGATAGTTTTTGTTATTGTAGTAATTCCTGGACATTATAAATATTTCCGTATAATGGAGTCGGTTATAACAGGTTATTATTATGCACATTTAAATTTTACTTTTTACAATATTTAATTCTAAATCGGTGTATCAACGGTTACACCTTTGCTTACAATGGCAACAGTGAAAGGCCTAGAAGATTACCAATAACATCCATCGCCAATTACTGTCATGCTGATTCTCGCAGGTGGTTGGTCATGCGCACCATCAGTAGTAAGTATTGTGATAAGGCCGGTCCTAGGCCGACTGTCTCTGCCCACGTGTCTAGGCTATCGTTGCTTCTGCCCTAAAGTCTATTTGTTTCTGCATAATTTAGTATGTTGAAGACGCACATCCTCTTACACTGATGCTGTTATGATACTATATCATCGAATGGATTAAACAACAATTCCGCAAACCATCGCGTATCTGCGTTAAATACTATAATATTAGTAATAATTGCACCTGTAAAATAAGTAGATATGTCACTCAATCAATGGATAACTCTTTTCATCGATTTTGGTAAAGCATGCAAACGTTGAAACATTAAATCATAAACAATAAACAAACCCCTTTATCGCCGAGCACCAAATTCTCTTTCCTCATACCTGCACCGACTAAATAGTCAATACTTTGTCAGGAGTATCCGGTTATGCGTTTGTGTCTTTAGTGGCTCCAAAAATTTAACATCACTTAACATTATCTTACCGCGCTGCTCTAGGAATGTCTCATAATTTCAATTGTATGGTTGCAATTATCGTTGTCAACAACATTCGCTTTTAAGAATAAATGAAACGACAAGACATGTGGCAACACTAACATACCGCACGAGGAATAAGATATAATGATAGTAATTTTGGCATATATTTGTTATAGAATGTTATAGTTTTGCACCTATATTACAACGTTACTATACAACATGCTTTACCATTAAACTTGTATATTGGTTAATGTACTAATTACTTGTTATTACTTCTTCTAGCACACTGAATACAAGAATCAGACCCAGCCATCGAAGGCCATTAAACACAATTTACCTTGTTTAACGGAAAATGACACTGTACTACATATCAGATAAACCCTGTTGTTTTTGAACATTTATTGCGCGCATACGCCGTAAACCATTACTGTAAATAAAGCCTATCATGAATAAGAGCGTGTAACGTTACCAAAATATAGCCTTATACCTCGAATATAGGCAGTTCAACCATTTAATGCGCTTTTACGTAACTATTTCTAGATTATTCTCGTAGCGTTTAAGGGGCAACAGGGCATCTTTGCGTTTGTCTATATGGACAATGCAAAATATTCCTGTGAACAAAAGCCCTTTTATTATAGCCCTTTGATTTACGAGAGGTTAGGATGATTTTGTTACGTGCCAAATCATATTAAAATCGTTTGCACAATCTGATAATAGTAATATATAGTCTAGTACAGTCATACCCTCAATTGAGACACATATCAATGCAATTCTCTTTGTCAGGATTTATCAAAATGTCTAACCAATAAAATGTATATTGACATATTACGCAAATGTATCCTCACTTCGGATATTCCCCAAGAAAGCCTCGTAGTCCAGATAAAGTATTATTAATGTACTTAAATGGTTATATTACGTATCCCGAAAATAATTCAATGGCCCCAGACTAAGGTACAGCATATTAACCAAAATTCTTTGTTGATTACTACTATTGTTACCAGCTTGTAAACCTGTTTGGCGCTCTGTTATTTGTCTGGGTCACCACTTAAACAAGAGCAGTATTTGGAATACAACACCATAATGAATGTACTTTTCTGAATAAGGTTTGCGGCGCCAAGAGAACGACGTTTCATTGACAAGCTCTTCATGCTGGCAACTATGAATAGTAATAATAATTCTCATACGTCCATATGTACATTGCTAATATATTCACTGACAATGCCTGCATCTGTATTATTAATTGATTCGCAGCTGAATAACTCTTAGGATCGATGGCGGCAACGGAAAAGTTGATGTTTCGGTATTGTTACCCAAAGATGTACCAAAACATGAACCATTTTAGTGTTGAATGATCACGCTGCGGCACTTACGAGTATCAATATAAACGAGCCAATCATCACTAAATCTTCTAAACAAATTTGGATAGCTCAATGATTATAGCGTTTGTTCTTTGATAAAACGCCCCGCATAGCATTGTGATTCTTCATTAAAGAACATTCTGATTAATGGAGACGACATGTCGATATTATTTCGTTTACAATGACATAAGCACCAGTTGAATCCTCGGCACAAGACACATCACAGACTAAAACATGACCGATATCCTGTTCTTGCATAGGTTCACTCTAATGTCATTGAAATGAGATCTTACGAACACTTCGTTCATGGTCGTACGAATATCTGTACTACGTAGGCTGCGTACAATGTGTATTACATCGTCCTCTTTTCTGTCGCATACAATATATTCAGAATAATCTCAATGTTGCGTTGTAAAAGAATGTCTTTATCTCTTTGGCCGGGTCGGTATTGTACTTGTGAATTCCTTTATTCTCTGTCAGAGAAAGAAAAAACGTTTGTACATGTGATTTCATGTTTATACGCAAGTGCAACAAAGATGTGTTGTACGATTATAGCCTAACTGTCTCGAAAAATACAGGTTATGCAGATCGAGTACTACTTCATGTCACACCACATCAGCATTCAAAAAGAATTTAAATGCACCTCATCTTCCCTCTGGCGAAAACTATCATCAATCGAAACTCATTATCGAACAACATGACTCAAAAACTTGATAGAGCACAAGTCAAAAAGGTAACTTGCAAAACAGCCACTTTGATTTTCAACTGCCAATTTCTCAATACTCGGGACTGACTTTCAATTTTAATTACTGCGGTAGGTTTTTGACGTCTTTGACTATAACGGCAATGGTATCTTGTCCCTTGCTGAAATTGACAGGGCGGTGATTGAACTTTACCCGCAACTGGCGAAAGACAAACCTGCCATCATGCGAGCTTACAAAGCTGCTGACACTTCAAATGTACGCTACGCACCCAACTCGTATTCTATTTGTCGCATTTCACTCTCTAAATCTCTCAACTATTGAACATCTCATTAGGATGGCTTTATCGATTTCAACGAATTCGGACGTCTCACCGACCTTCTCCATTACTACCACGAACTATACAAGAAATTTCAACAACTTGATATAGATGGCGACAGACGCATCAGCTATGTCGAGTTCAAGAAGGGACACGATCTCATGGGGATAAAGGGACGTTCGGAGAAAGTGCTTAAGGCAGCTTTCGATGAGATCGACACGAACCATGGAGGATATATTCTTTTTGATGAGGTAAAGTAAAGGCTGCATTTCTCGTTAATGGAGCTTCTTTTGCAAAATCGGTACTAATGCACACATTATTAAATGCTTATCCATTTCAGTTCTGTACTTATGCCGCCAAGGTAAAAATGTTGGAATTTCCCGAATGATGTTAAATATTCGCTGTCGAATCGTCTCTCTATAAAGTCTAATGTACGGGAAGCTGTTGTTGTATTCGGCACTGCATGTATGATATACTTTTGTGAATTTTTGTCGAAAATAACTATAAACATATGTTATTAATCAACCAAAGTAAAAGGGCCTGCATGTCAGTTTGTTGCATTCTGTATTCGCAATGATGATTTCGTCCGACTAAGATACACAAGAAACCTTTGCTACGTTTACTAGTAGTTCTGCAAACAGATTTGGTCGGGCAATTATAAGTCTTCAAAAGATTTTCAATCCATCTTGGACTCATGGGGCGCCGTTCCTCTCTGCCTTTTTATGCCTTTGCTCGATTAGCCCGCTCATCATCTTCTCGTCCACGTCGATTCATACTTAAAACAATGACTTGTTACAAGAATCTGTATACTCTTATCCATATTGTCCATTCATCTATCTAGTATGAAACATGCGTTAATCGATGTTTTTCAGAAAGTGAAGTGACCGCAAACTTAAAATTTAATTTGTTAATATGGTCCGGTGCAAAAAGATAGATACCTCGAAATTGATCGCTATCAAATCGCCTAGTTAAAGCTGTGTGCGACTTT